CCGTTGTGAGCTAACCAAACCATGGCTTCAATATCCTTGCTCATATCATGGTAAGATCTTTCCGCTTCTTACATTTTATATCTCAAAATGGCCTTTTTTAAGGGGGCAGAGTCCCTCAATAGTATATTGTATTCCACGCCATTTTTCGTGTTATGATAATTTATTACTCACTAATAAATCTACAAGTGCATGAGTAGTTGTTTTGTCAGGATCAGAGAACCATCTGGGCTTCTAATGGTGTCTGTGCTCGAGAGCCATCACCATCAGAATGATCTATCCTCGACAATTGCCATGAAAGGATTCAGACGAATACTTCCTCAAAACTAAGGTACACTAGAATGATCTCTTCGAATACGCATCCTCGATCGAGGAGCTCATATATACACTATCAAGGTCCGAGAGCCTTTATGCGCTTATTAGATGAACTTCTCACTATCTTTCAGTCGACATGTCATTATTATCATACTTGCAATACATGTCTTGGACTAAGCTGCAAGACAAGCATACCCCGAGAACTCTGGGACAAAATAAGCAGAGATACGTAACTCTCGCTCTGACCTTAGAGTGTTCATACTTTAAACCTAGGATATAAATTATCAGTCTAATGCACATGGTGGTAGCCCACTCGAGTACTCATGGGAGCTGTTATATCTTATATACGCAGTTACACCCATTTAAACATGACTAGTCACTTGAACGGATATCCTCTTCAGGATCGTCCTTAAAAAGACATTCTCTTCAGAATCGTCTGTATTCGAGGGACGCGTACCCAGCTTCCTCGAGGATATCCTCTTCAGGATCATCCTTAAAAAGACATTCTCTTCAGAATCGTCTATACAAAGGTATCTTCTTCAGGATCGCCTGCAAAAGAGCCATGTACTTAACATCCGGCCACTATAAGCACTTTACAAATAACCCATAAGCCATGTACTCGACATCCGGTATTGAGAAAGGCCTAGATTTTCATGTTCATGAACAATGGGTGGACAATCCCTTGAACCTAAACACATATGTTTTATACCTCAATGAGAACTAGAATTGTTCTCGAGTATACTTTCTAGGATCGATCTATCATATCATCCAATACATTAGAATGAAAATGACTTTATTCTCGATGTTCTCGAATTCACTTTGTACCTCGTTAATACAGGCCTATTCCTTCTGTAAGGTGGTTACCATCCATCTCCTTCTAATAGACGCCATTTTATTGCCTTAACCCTACGAGTATGGGGACTTCTTGATCAGACACCTTCTCGAACTGAGCGGCGGGAATTACACTATCATCTAAAGTCTTGGTCTGCCAAATGTCACCCCAAGATTTGGGGGCTTCGAGATGAGTAATGGCTCCGAGGTTATATATAACGAGGAGTGTTTATATATGGGAGATTGTAAGGCGTCTGTAAGGTGTGTAAGGTGTTTCGGAGGTGTTTGGGAGATTGTGTTTTTGTTTTTTGGATGATTATTGGTCTACAATAATCAGACTGGGGCATCGTTCCTTCTCACACACTAATGCATAATACCTCCTCGATTCTTGCTCGAATCTCAGGCAACGACATTATACATTTACTCGGGTTCGACATATCAACTTGATTTATACTTCTCAAACCCGGACTAAGGGTTCTATGCTTTATTTCTCGGGACAGGAGAAACGGCAAGCGGGTCGGTTGGGCGGATATAAATAAGCTTAAATGCTTGTGTGCATTCTTCAAGGTCAGATGGTTACAACTCTTGAGTACTTTCTAGAGTTCTGCTCGAGAGAAGCTTCTCGAATATCTGGATTTCTTAATAGAAGGTCACATTGGGGCAAGTTCTCGGCAGACAGTGTTCCTTCTCAAACTCATGTCCTCGACATCGAGTGTCAACAGAATATTCTGTCTTTATTCATGGTGCTTCTCGATCCACTACACAGTGATTTTTCTTGAAGGTTTGGATCTATTACCTTTCAGTCAGAAGCGTATGTCACAGTTCTCTAATGGACTTCTCATCTCGACAGTGGATATATCTTAGTCGCTGCTAATGGCGCATATTTTGAGACTAGTGGGAATCTACGCTATGTTTCCTTCTTGACAACAGATTATCTTGGGCCAAGTTCTTGGCATGCAGCTCCAGCTTATATTTCTTCTCGAACTTATGTCTTCGACGACAAATGTCAATAATCACAGTCATATTACATCTTCTCTCTTGGTACTCAACATAGTATTGACATAAGTCTCCTTCTCGAGCTTATCTTCTCGAAGTCTTCGAGACTCATGTGTTCAACCTCATTTAGGCATATCTCTTGCCTCTATTCACGAGATTATTTCATATCGCTTCTCATTCATTATTCTCGAGATTTGGAGTTAATGCTTCTCGATCTGAAGTGCGCATTGTAATCTTCGCGCAAATCTCTTGTTCTGCTGGTTATTGACAACACACCATTAAATCTGAAATAGTGGGAATCTCCACTACTTCTTCTTCTATAATCCTCTCAAGGAGCGGGGCATTCGCCTCGATATTTCTTTGGTGCAGATTGTGAAGACCATCACATAATGCTTTCTCGATTAAAAGTCTGGACTAGTGACTTCATCTTCCTCAGACTTCGATGCCAATCATTATAAGTGACATGCACATCGAGAAAGGTACGCGCTAATGCTTTTATTGCTTTAATCTCTTCTCGATGCTAACCTGTCGCAGGTTCTCGATCCAAGTCAGTTTTGTCCGAACTTGAGGAAACTATATACTTCACGTTATCAAGCCTAACCTATCTTCAGACTTCGAAGTATAGGCTTGATAAGGGGCACTTGACGAGTCCAAATTAGTACGACCCATGACTAAGCCGGCCCAAGTTACTTTTCTACCAAGAAAAGATTCCATAACCTAGCTCTATAAATAGGAATCAACCCTTCACGGTTAAAGGTACGTTCTACGTACCACAATTCATACCACTATTACAATTGCTCTTACTGACTTAAGTATCGGAGTGTCTACCATCGGGAAACCCCCGGGCCCTCTTTTGTAGGTTTTAGGGTTTTGACACTGGCACGGCCGCCGGTTCAATCAATTGGAGATGTAGGTGCAGATTCATGCTTCGTCAAGATACAAATTCCTACAAAATCAATTACGATAAATATGGTATGTAGACCAATTTAAATTTAAAGGTTTTATTGTTATCTTCAAAAAAAAAACTTGTTTTCTTAATAAAAAAAAATTAAAAAGATTGAGACATTTATTATGGCAAACATTGATAAGTATAAATACATCTATTCATTTTCAGTCTTTTTGTACACAACTCTTCGGTAAGAACTTTTTTTCAAAAGGTCATTGAAACTAACCATCATATACTAACCATCATATACTACCTTTTTTTTTTAGTTTTCGTTTTTCATTGCATTTCAAGTCAACAAAGTTCAATGGCATGGGTTTGTATGAATAACTGCAATCATTCTGAACGAGGCTCACGTTACGATGAAGTACATCAATGGCTAATAAGAAAGTGATTCAGTTTAATCTCCATTACTTCTAATATATGATGAGACAATTCTTTGCAGAGTTATAGTATTATTATTATATGCTACCCAAGGGATTCATGAAATGTACAGATTGTTCGAAGTCGATGGAGACATGCCATGGATTGAAATGTCAAGCCCTGAACCTATTCTAGAAAAACTCTACTGGGCAATGATAGGTATTATTTTTGTATATTTTTTCTTTTTTTTGGTTTTGAAGTTTTATTTTCGAAAACAAAAAATAAAAGTATTACTCCCTCTGTCCCATAATTATTGTCCAGTTTAGACTTTCATTTTTAGTTCAATTTGTACTAAAAATAAAAGTCCAAACTGGACAATAATTTTGGGACGGAGGGAATACTAATAATTTATCATTGTCCATGTTCCATTTAGTCACTACAAGTATGAAATTTTCTCGCCTAAAAAAAAAAATAATTTTTTGTTTAATTTTTGGTATATTAAGTGCATGTAAAGGGAAGAAATTTACAAAAAGATAACTTTACACAAGTATTGTCATAAGTCTCTTTCAACTCTATTTAATGTGTTTTTCAATGTATTAAATCATGTTTTTCATGAAATGAATAATTAAAGCAGTAGGGACATAATAATGGAAGATAACTTCAAACTTTTTTGTTCATTAACTTCATTTATATGGTTTGATCACCCTCGACGCTGTTTCGATGATTTTCATTGATTTTGGCAATGAAATCTTTACTTATGTATAGAAATTATATTAGAACTTTTGAAATATTTCATCAATACTCAATACTTTATAGTTATGATTTTTTTTTCAAAAAAACAAAAATTGAATTTATTGTGCACCAAATAGATAATTATATGATTCTAAATATCCTGCATACAATTGCATACAATAATTTTATGCATGTCCCAGTTGTATATTTTCTATTAAACAATACAAATTTACGAATCCTATAAAAAATTATTAAAAAAAACGTAATCAATCCCGCATGAGCATAACATCTACTTTGAGTATAAAAAATGCTAAGATTCTCTAGTTTAAATATATCATATTGATGCAACTTGCTGAAAAATAAAATACTCCCTCTATATTAAAAAAAAAAAACCATGCATCTCAAAATGATGTCCTATTAAATATATTAAGTTATCTCTTTAAAATGATTAAGGTATTAACTAATAACACACTAATCAAATAATAAGTGGACCCTTGTGTTAAACTTTTTAATTAATGTCACATAATGCAAGTATGCAACACAAAAGTGTCATATTATGAAGGTAGGGAGGGGTTGGCAAGATTTGCTTGGTTTGAAGCAATCATAACTTCATTATCGAGGGGATTTCTGATGACCCATCTTGATTTTGTAACTTGTTTAAAAATTATCCTAGAAATTAATTAATTATTATTTCTTTTTGTCTTGTGCGGCCCTTGCACCCTTCACCAAAAGGGTTCAAAGAGGAGAAATGGGGGATCATTAGTGCCATATATATAAAATTTTGAATACAGTTATGATCTTCTTTTTTTTTTTTTTTTTTCTTCCAAGTTCTACTTCTATGTATAACAAACAGAAAGAATTGAGTAAATTATGCAAGTTATACAGATGAGTCACCTTTATGAATTGTTCTGATTACATTGGTGACTTGCTCAACCTGATCTTCAGTTGAACAAGACGAAAGCAGCACTTTGGCTGTTCCTCCATCTGGATAACACCCACTGTCGATCATCTCCTCGAAAATTTCCAAACATCTTTTGTACATTTTCTTCCTGGAGTAAGCTCCTAGTCTGGATGTCCAGGTCACAACATCTGGTGTGAAGTTCTTCCCGCGAAGCGACGAGAAAAGTTCCTCCATTTTCTCAAAGAATCCAGCTCTACCGTAGGCGTTTATCAGAATGTTGTAAGTGCTGATATCGGCTGGACATGGACCAATTGACATGGCTTCCAGGACTTCTTCCATTTTCTGAAACTGGCCTAGTTTACCATACAGATTAAGCATACTGTTGAATACGTACGTGTCTGGTTTGAGTCCGGACTTCTGCAAGTCATCAAGGATTTCCTCACACTTTTGCACATTTCCGGCTTTTGTATAGGCCGAAATAAGTAGCATGTATGACTTCATGGTTGGTGAGATTCTTAGTCGCTTCATTTCTTCGAAAACAGCTTCTGCATCTATTGCAGAAACAATGAAGAACCAAAAAAAAACATCTCAGTTGTTGAAACAATTAGGAAACAAGTGTACCATGAACTCCAGAATCACAATAGTGGGGTGCAAAAATACCAAAGAACATACAAACAAACCCAATGTGTATATCTCCATGACACAAAAGATAGGTGTTGTGTCCTCTCAGACATCTACAGCAGCAAAATATTTGAAAAGGGGTTTGGATCCCTAGATAAGACATACATCTTTGCTTTCAGGACAAGTGCACTGAACAGTAATCTTAAGGAAGAAAGCAAATATGTGTCATATTTCTCTGTGGCTGAATACACATCATTTAGCAAATACAGAAACGACCGTACTAGTTTCAGACACAACAAAGACGAAAATGAAAACAATTAACCCTTTGAAAACAGGTGACTTCACTGAACGTAACGTGGCTTTTGGATTTAGAACTTTACCTTCATGAAGACCAGCTCTCCCGTATGCATCCACCATAATGTTGTATGAGGCCCTATCCGGTTCACATTCCATATGCTTCATAAGCGAAAAGATCTCTGCAGCACCATTAGGAATACCAGCACGGCTGCCAGAGAACACTTATTAGATACTATTTGTATATAATTACTCTTCTTTCTTCACAGTCAAAATTGAAAAGTAATTTCTAAAGCAGTAGAATATCATCTCAATGCATAATTCATAGACATTACTAAGAATTGGCAGAACCATGGTAACCTCAAATGGTGTACATATAATATCTCTCACAAGCTCATTCATTAGTTTCAGCCCAGGAACAGATAATTACTCAGAAATAGTAAATCAATTTAGACAACTCTCATCTCATGAGCTGGATTATCCTCGCAAACCAAGTTCATAATAATGGAAATAGTTCATAAAATCCTTAATAGATGGGAAAGAACCCCTTGCTCAAGCATAGGGTTTTGAGAGTCAGGTAAGTTTTGGTCTCAAGTAGCTGCTGAGGTTGGAACTGCAGAGATAGAAGGTGATGTGCAGGAGCTGAGAAAGTTTACATCGAATTAAAATGACAAATCTGTTAATTTTATTGAATGCATATATGGCGTTAGCATCTTGAGATTTGGTCCATGTTCTACTGATGCAGGCTTCTAAGCACAAGAGATCATGATTAATTTTGTTTCATGTCTTCACAGCACATCAAGGTATCTAACCGTGGAAGTCTCAAGAGAAATAGAAACAACCAACAACCTACCTATTATACGTTCATTAGATTAACTCCATTAAGCATATTAACATCATGTTGTAAAATAGATCATTTGTTTACCTGTAGGCCTCCATGAGAGCGTTGTAGGCGTACACATCAGGCTCATAACCAGCTTCTTGTAGAAGTTCAAAAATTTCTTCTGCTTTTTCGCACAGTCCATCTCTGGCAAATGCATTCACCAGTGCCGTGTAAGTACAAATGTTAGGATGACACTTTTTACTTCTCATTTCATTGAACAACTTTAAGGCCATATATGATTTGTTTTCCTGCATATTAGAGATACTTCATCACATGAAAGAAAATAGAAGTGAATGGACTTTAAGACATATAGAAGATCAAATTACTGAACCCAGAACAAGGTCCAGACTCTGATAGTCTGAGTCTAAGACAGACATTTATTTTATGAAATGGAAAGAGTCTGATTGATAGTAAGACATGCCATCAGTTTGGTACTGGAAATTGTTGCCACCTTAAACATCTATCATACTAAATGCTACATTAGAATCAAGTCATGCTTGCACCAAATCTGGAATTGTATGAACTTGCCAAGTTCAGAGGACATGTTAGTCATAACTTTCACAGCTGGGCTTATGACTGCTAAATGGTTAGTGGAGATATCAAATAGAGTATTGAAGTTGTATCTTTCCTTCAATAGGTTTGTAGGTGTACTAAATTCTTTAGCTGCTCTCCAGAGATCAGATAGAGGCAGCAAGTTCATGTGCAATATCATCTTAATGTGCATCTACCAAGTGTCATTTCTGGTTTTCTTGAGTCTGCTAAACTCCAAAGTTTAAAACACATCAACTGAAAGTAAATTGATAATTACTGAAACATGTATATAAACATAGAGGTAGTATACACTATACGCATCATGCTGAATTTACCTTCCCATATAAATTGATCATCATTGTATATGTGTCCGTCGATGGTTGGCAGTGATCTCTCTCCATTCTTTGAAATATCTCAACTGCTTTCGATGCATTTTTGTGCTTGATCAAACCATCAATATAAGCATTGAAGACTACTGTGCCTGCAGATCATTGGGAAAGGTCCTACACTACTGAGCATCATTCTAGGATTGAAACTGATGAAATAGTATTCACAGTCCAATTTCAAATGTAATCATAATCAATTTGAGAAGTTCATCCACAATGGTTTTCGACAAATACAAGGTAATCAAAGACAGCAGGTAGTATGTAGCTGCAATAATTACATCCTAAAGATTCGTGTACAGACATATAATAACTTCTTATCCTAAATCCAACAGGATGGGCATGCACGAAGAAAATAGACATCATAAAAGGCAGATCCCAAGTCATGGGTGATATGTCCAGAACACAAATCCTTGAATAAGTGAACCTTACATTGTTGGAGGCCTCAGAGGAAAGATGAAACACACGGGCCGCTCAGTTACTGTGTTTACCACAGAAGAGGCAATGCATGTAAACTACAGATTAACAGTCCTTAAGCAATAGTCTTAAATAAGGTGAATAGTTGCAAAAAGAAAATTTATTCTTTCATGTTGAGTTTACGGAGTCAAGTATCCATACTGGAACTAGATAAACTTACTAGGGGGATGGCCTCGCTCCCGCAGCTCAGCAAGAACAGCTTCGGCATACTCAAACAGCGCACATTTGCAGTAGGCTTTTATTAGCAGTGCATAAGTATCTTCTGTGGGTAGGCATTGAGCTTCGAGGAGCTCTAGATAGACAGATTCTGCCTTCTTAAGGTCTGATCTCTGCCCGTAAGCATCTATAAGCAAATTATAGATAATGACATCAGGCTGGAAAGAACTCTTGTACATTATCCATTCACACATCTGGATTAGTGATCAATAAAATCAATCAGCTCACCCATCAATGAGAAACAAACAGAATGACATGATTCAAAGACAGACTTTCTTAAGAATAAGGAATTTGAGGCCTAGGGACATAACCAGCAGGTCTATCGACGCCATAAAATTCCACATACACTGTGTGAGATGCAGTTGAAAGTGATTTGGTCACTTGAGATCAGACTTGGTTCACTATGACTGCTCATTTTCTTCGTAGTGAATTGTTTGCCCAATAGAACATTCAACTACCAAAATCCTAATTCCAATTAAAGGGGCAACTGATTGGCATCAGTAAGGAAAAAGCAGTTACAATGGACATCAAAACCATAAATAGCAAAAACATGTGCATTGTCTGATTCAATAATCTAACCTTGAAATCTTTTTGTTCTTTTTGCAACAGAGACAATTTACGTGTCAAAAACATTTCCATGGCAAAAACAAACAACAACAACAACAACATACCCAGTATATTCCCAACTTGGTTGGGGTCTGGGGGTCAAGATGTACGCAGCCTTACCCCTGTATTTCAATATAGAGAGGCTGTTTAAGTAGTACGACCCAAGACAACTAACCACCTATTTCTAATGAAGCATGAAATGAAAGTAAAAATTTTCTACCTGTATAATGGGATCCCATCGTTTATTGAGACGCAGCTGAACACACACATTAATTAGGTCATCCCATGTATTAGCATTTATAGGTAGAGCATCTAAGGAACTCCAAACTCTATAAACATCTGATTCCCTTCGCACAAAGTTCAAGATCTTCTCAGCGACTGGACTTAATACAGGAAAGATACCATCAACAAATCCAGATCCATACTGCCATCCTCTGCCTCTCAAAGAACCCCCTGCTCACAAAAGAACATGCACCAGGCCTTTAATTGAGCTGCATTGAGGAATTGATTCTGGCATATTCAGAAAAGAAACAAAATGGGAAACTTTATTACCCTTTTTTCTGGAAACTTTTTTATGTTTAAACCTAACCAAGTCGCCACGTTTGTCAACATATAAGCCATCACGTTTCCACTTCTTTACAGGTTCCTCCGTGGAAGTTGAAGCTCTACAGCTGATGTTGTTCCTGCAGTATCTTGGCTCACTAAATGTACAACTCACTGGCCACTTCACAGACAACCTACAAAAGGAGAGTGAAAACAGTTGATTCTAAGTAAGATCAAAACATCATAGTCCTCTCCTGACTGGAGTATCTTAATCTAATCATCTGCTCGAAGATATTTGAAACTGGAAGTCACTGAGAGCAGTAGCATCAGTACTGATCAAAATATACCTTATCCAATGACCCATTAACCTCTCAATCCTTCTATCGGATGTCTCTGAAGGGACTCTCAATCATTATATCAAATGAATTACCCGTATTAAAAGAATCATTCTTACAGACATTGAGTCATACAACATATCTACAGTTTCTGTCATTACGCATCGAACCCCATAATCAAGAATCATTTTGAGATACACCCATATGAAGTTTCAGAATTTTGTAGACATTTAAGCATGGTATAGTGGACAACAAGAATTAAGCAAACAAAATGGGTTTACTTTGTCAAGACCCAAATGAAAAAATAAAATAAAGAAGAGGGAAGCTCACATTTGATGGAATTTCAAGAAAACTCGAGCTAATCAGATTGCAGATTCCAGAACGAGCAGGAGAACATAAGGGAATTCAAATGGGCTTGAATGAATCCAAAACGAAAATGTACAAAAACAAAAGATTCTTGAAGATGATGAGGTAATGAATAAAGAAGGCCCCAGAAAGGAACAATATTATAGGATTTGGTTCGAGGATGACAACAAAAAGCCTCGTAAAATATCTCGTACACATGCAGACGAAAATACATTTAAAAACTCCCCAGAAAAAGGGGGAAAAATAGAAAAACACCGAGATCTGTATATATATATATATATAAGTACTATATAAAAAGCTCAAATTCATTCAGAAACCCCTTTTGCCGGTCATCTTCTCCAGCATTCACCTTCAAAGCTCAAAATCCTCTCTTGGAAGTAAGAAAGTCCAAATCTTCATTGGAAGTTCGTTCTCGGTTAGCGTTAGCAGCCGCCGCTTCATCACCGTCAGTTCCTTAATGAAGGGTTCGCCTTTATTTATTTATTTCTGTTCCCTTTACATCTTTCTTTCTTTGTGGGAGAACCAAAATGTCGTTTGTTCATCTGTCTTAATTGGCTTTGATTGTGAACCCAGTATGCCGCAACTGAATCAACAAGCATTTCGCTCAGTTATTAATTGAGTGAAATTCCTGATTTTACCAAAGATGAAGATATATAATCTGGATGTGAGAGTACTTCATTTGGCAATTGTCTGCTCTATTCGTTTGAAGGAAAAAAAATCTAAGTAGATTCGGATTAGCATACGGAATTTCACATTTTTCGCATTTGAGCAATAGTCAATTTGCTTAATTTGCCATAGTTTTCTGCTGTTTTGTTGGGGATTCATTGATTAGTTATGAAAATATTCTTGAATTCAAATTGTTATTGGCTGATTTGTGGAATTTCAACTTGATTCAGACTACTGGAACTACCTTGTACATCTAGGCCTTCTCTGATTCTCTGCATTAAAATGTGAACTTTTTAGTTGAGTTCCTAGCATCGTATTACACGAGAAGCTTGCTAATTGTTTACTATTCTTATGTTGGCTCGGTTAATTTGGATTCCACATGCAGTAGGAGGAATGGGGAAGTGGTGCAACTGTTGTTTAGTGCGGTTATTTATCTCCCTCTTTGTTGTTCAGTTTCGGTCTTTTGCATCCCTTATTCAACCTTGTTTTTGGCTGGAAATCCTTTAGTGCAACATATGCTCTGAAGCCTTCCATTTCTGTACTCTTTACTGTCTCTCGAGATCCTTTGAGTCTATGACGTCATGAGAGTTTGCATAAAGTCCTGTGGAAATCCTTTAGTGCAACATATGCTCTGAAGCCTTCCATTTCTCTACTCTTTACTGTCTCTTGAGATCCTTTGAGTCTATGACGTCATGAGAGTTTGCATAAAGTCCTGTGGAAATCCTTTAGTGCAACATATGCTCTGAAGCCTTCCATTTCTGTACTCTTTACTGTCTCTCGAGATCCTTTGAGTCTATGACGTCATGAAAGTTTGCATAAAGTCCTGTTGAAATGTAGATTTACATTATTTCATCTTAGAAGTTGTAGGTAATGGAATGAGATTGGAAGGAGTGCAGTATAGATGACAAGCATATAACATGGCAAATAAAAGGTGCCATGTTTCTAGACTTGCACTGTTTCATTTTCAGTCTTTTGCCTGTGAAGATGCTATGTCTAAGCGTATAATATAAGAGGATAATCTAGAGCAGATCTGGTTTTTCTTCACAATTTGAGGGTGGGATCCTGCATTTTTTGAAGCTATGTATCCTTGTGAACCCGCTTTATCTTTGTTAGTTGTTTCCTATCTGTAGCTATGCCTTATCTGATTACAGATTTCTGGATGATCTTCAGTGGTGTACCTTAATGTAAATACTTTTTCCTTTTTTATCCTGTTAAGTTCACTGGATTAAGTCTTTCATGGGTGCAATTTTGTGAGACATACTATTCATGAACTCCCTTTTAAGATTTTAACTCGTCCTTTTTTTTTCTTCTTATTTTCCAGGTCCAGGGGGGTCATTGTTTGGCTGATAACTACATACGAAGCCTAAAGCAACCATTTTCCGACAGCAAATCATGTTTCAGTGGCAGCGCCTCCTTTTGAGCGCCGCAAAAACTACACATCCAAAAGTTCCCCTTCTCAAAGCCCTTCTAAACCCCTATGATCCTTTCCCCAAAGCCCAAGTATTCTCCTCGCTCTTCGCCTCCCATTTCTCCACCTCGTTTCTTGTGACAAAAATCCCCAAAAAGTTCAGGAAGAAACGTAAGAAAAAGGAAAGCCCCCGCTTCAAACTTGTCCAAACACAGCCAAATGTCATCCCTCACTTTGAAAGCATACTTCGCCGTGACGCTCACTACAGATTTTTAATGAAAACAAAAGATTTCCTGTTGAAACAGCCCCAACAAGTCCTCCTCCTCGACGAGGCCGGAAAAATGCATCAGCTGCTGGGATTTCCCCGAGGCCGCAAAGTAGTCAAGTTCATACAGCACCACCCTTTAATATTCGAGGTTTATCGCCACAGTGATAATAAGATGTGGTTGGGGTTCAGCGAATTCATGGAAAGGTTGATTCTTGAAGAGCAGAAAATCATGGATGAAATGGAAATGGACAGAGTTAACGTCGTTAGGAAATTGCTTATGATGTCAGTCAACAAAAGGATGCTATTGAGTAAAATTTATCATAACAGACATCTATTTGGAATAAGGGAGGATTTTAGAGATTGGGTTGGGAAGTTTCCTCAGTATTTTAAGGTTGTTTTTGAGGATGATGGAAAACGGATTCTCGAGCTTGTGAGTTGGGATCCTTCGTTGGCAGTAAGTGCTTTGGAAAGGGAGTTCATGGTCGATGAAGATAAGGTGAAGAAGGCATTCAAATTTGGGGTGAAACATGGCAAGGCATTGGAACTGGACGAGCATGATGAGAGGAAGTTGAACTTGTTGATGACTTTGCCATTAGTTTCCCCTTATTCGGATGGGAGTAAATTAGATTTGTGGACTGTAGAAGCTGAGAAGTACAGGGTTGGAGTGGTTCATGAGTTCTTGAGCTTGACATTGGAGAAGAGGGCTTACATACATAACATTGTGGAGTTCAAGGAGGAATTTAGTCTCACTAAACATACTTATCAGATGCTTCTGAAGCAACCTCGGACGTTTTATCTTGCCGGTACTGAGATGAATTGGTGTGTTTTCTTGAAGGATGCTTATGGGCAGGATGGTATTTTGATTGATAAAGATCCCCAAGTAGTTTTCAATGAGAAGCTGTACAGATATGCAGATATGGAAGAACTGGAATCCACCACCAGTAATCACTAGAAATGAATATCGTATGATTTGGCATTGGTCTTCAAATTTGGCAAAAGTTCTGCCAAAAACATACTATGAGGAAGTTCTTAGAAAGGGTGTAAACTGATGATGACTTTGTTCACCGGGCTATGGACCTCGCAATCAAATTGATGAAATTTTGTTGATGAACTACCGTTTCATTAGTGTTATACTTACATTATTAGTAGTCTATAATGAGTGTTAGAATTTTCGAGACCATTTTTTTCGGCACGACCCAATCTAAATTTACAACTTATGTTGCGTTTTGGTATGTATATTTTTGAAAAAAAAAAAAAGAAAAAGACTATTACCATGTAAAGTATATATTAAAAAAGAAAAAGACAATCAAAATCGTTTATTAAAATTTAAAAAATCAAATTACAAAAAAAGGAAGAAAAAAAAAACAGAAAAACAAAAAGCGCCAAATGAAAATGGCAAACATTCAACAGACTAAACTAGACAATTACTTCTATTCGCCTCTGTTCTTCTCCAAAACCCAAATTTTTTCTGTGCAAAAGCCGCCGAGCCTTCTTCCATGGTAATGGCGATCACCAAATCAAAGCTTCGATTTGGCAGTACCTTTACACTTTTGAAAACCCTTTTTTCTTCTCAACATTCATTTTCAGAGTTAGCTTCACCTTCTTCAACATTTGACCACCAATCCGATGTTGTAGAAGACGACGACAACGACGACATTGGCGCCTCCCACAAGCTCGCCGCCGCTGTAAGTTTATCCCCGGCTGAATCTTTAATCGTCGATAAGCTTCACTCTGTAATCAAAGATCACCACCGCAAAAACCCTACCTTAAACCCTAATCCCAGTGACCCCGACGCCGCCCCTGTAAACCCTACCCTTTCTCTCCCAACTCTATCCTTAAACTTCTCCCAAATCTGTAATCCTGCATCCATATCACCCGCCGTTATCGGCCGTGTGGTTGAGAGATGCGCCGCCCCTCGGCACGGTATTCCATTCGCGCAAACCCTGACCTTGTTCAATTGGGCTCTTTTGCATTACCAAACCACGATCCCTCATGAGGTTTATGTAGAAATGATCGATGTTGCTGGCAAAGTACGGCAGTTCAACGTTGCTTGGCATTTGATTGATTCAATGAGGGGGAATCATATCGAAATCCCAACTGAAATGTTTATCGTTTTAATTCGACGTTATATTAGAGCTGGATTGGTTGAGCAAGCTGTGCATACTTTTAGTAGAATGGAGGAATATGGCTGCAAGCCTGATAAAATGGCGTTTTCGAAGGTGATTAGTATTTTATGTAAGAAACGGAGGGCTGTTGAAGCTCAGTCTTTGTTTGATAGCATGAAGGACAAGTTTGAGCCTGATGTGGTTGTTTGTACTAGCTTGGTTCATGGTTGGTGTAGGGCTGGTAATATATCAGAGGCTGAGAGGGCTTTTGGAGAAATGAAGAATGCTGGGATCCAACCCAATGTGTATACATATAGTATTGTCATTGATGCTTTGTGCAGGTGCGGACAAATTACCCGTGCTCATGATGTTTTTGCAGAGATGATTGACTCTGGGTGTGAGCCAAATGCAATTACTTACAATAATCTGATGCGAGTACATGTAAAGGCAGGGAGGACAGAGAAGGTATTGCAAGTTTATAATCAAATGAAGAGGCTTTCTTGTGTGCCTGATGTGATAACATATAATTTCTTGATCGAGACCCATTGCAAGGATGAAAACCGTGAGAATGCAATTAAAGTTTTGAACTCCATGGTTCATAAAGGGTGTGAACCAAACGCTCATAGTTTTAACCCAATTTTTAGGTGCATTGCTAAGTCCAGAGATGTAAACGCTGCTCATCGATTGTATTCCAGGATGAAGGAGTTGAATTGTGAGCCTAACACTGTGACATACAACATATTGTTGCAGATGTTTACTGGTTCAAAATCAACAGACATGGTTATCAAGCTTAAGAAGGAGATGGATGAGAAATATGTTGAGCCTAATGTGAATACTTACCAGACTCTGATTTCAATGTACTGTAAAATGGGTCACTGGAATAACGCTTACAAGTATTTTAAAGAGATGATTGAGGAGAAGTGTTTGAAACCTAGCCAGCAACTTTATGATTCAGTTCTGCAACAGCTGAGGAAGTCTGGGCAGATGAAGTTACACGAGGAATTGGCGCAGAAAATGGTTGATAGGGGATTCGCGACGCGTCCTCTGTAGAAGTTTAGTTGAACTTGCTTGGCTGGATATCCGTGCCATTGATCTTGTAAGTTGAATAAATGTTGACTTTCTATTCTGGCTGTTTTGAAAGTGGGCTAAAGATTTAATTGTTGTAGGTTACAAATATTTTGTATTGATCTGCTTCTCCTACTGAAACGTTGAATATGTTTCTTTAGTATTATCTGTTGCATGATGCATGACCAAATGGAGAATAAAACTGCCTTTGTTCTCTCTTCTAGAGTCATCGCTCTGCTCTCTGCATGGATTTCCAGCAGAGGTAAGCATCAGAATTGTAATAGTGTGTGCTGAAGAGGAATTAGTATATAAAGGAAGACTGGGCAATTAGTAAATAAATGACTGGAAAGTTAAAGAAAGTCTTATTGTACCACAAAATTGTTTCGTATAAGTATTCAAATTGGTAATTTGTGATTGGAAGAGGAGATGGTCCACAAATAAGACCTAGCAACTATTTTCTTTAGGGTTTATGTGAAGAAAAGAAGCCTCATCTTTGGTTATTATCTACAGGAAATCGAATAATCGTGCTTGGTGTTAATAGATTATAGATATAGTCTGTTCATGTTAAGAATATGTATTCTTGATGACTCATAGCTCCTGTTTTAGGATAATTTCTGCATTCAATTAGGATGATATCTTTCTTAGTTTCCTCTCTGGAATTAAACCATATTACATATTGTGTTTTGTCAGCTCATTCTGTTTCAGTTTGCAATTGATTTTGGTTTATGTTTTAGAGAAGCGGTGTAGACATGTCACAGTGGTATATTGAGCTAGTATCTTTCTTTATTATTATTATTTTTTAAAAAACTTCTTGTTTATCTTTGTTTTATCTTCAATACATCTTCCCCAGGTTCCAATCCTTTGGAGAAGCAACCAAATGCTTCAGTTCAGTTACTCGAGGTCGTTCTACCTGTAAAAGTTCTGCAGCCGCAGCAGCTGCAAAATCATTCATCCCTAGTTTCTAATCGATTTTATGCTGGACAAGTCAGGTCTGATGCTTGAAATGCCTCTCAAGCTGGAAGTTTCTGGTCCTGAGCTCAGCTAGTGAGAATCTCACCAACTCTACATTTAATGATTGATCGAATCCAACTAACAATAGCGAATGTAGATTGCTAAACAACCAATTTTCTAATCTCCTTCAACTCCGGTTGCTGGGATGAGCAATATTGTTCTGAAGGATTCACTCTTGATAGGAAGGCATTCTTTATCTCTGACACCTAGACAAAAAGCAGGGAATAATCTCCTTCATGCTCCAAAAGAGCTCACTCAGTGCGTTCCTCATAGATTCGAGTTCCTCGATTTTGAACCCTCACAGACATAAGCCTGACGAAATTGGTGAAAATCTGAAACTGCTCCATCCCTGGAGCAGATTGTAATGGGCAATGAGTTGCTTTGAACCAGAGGACCACTGGAGCAGATTTCAGCGTTCGGTTTGCTTTGTTGGATGGATTCTGTATGCTTGGTTTAAGTTTAAGATCTTTTGTAGTGATGTTTGAACTATTAATATACTTGACTTAAAGTTTGTTTCCTTCAACCATGAGATCTATTGACTACTTATAATAACCAGCTTTTGCTTGTCCTTTCAAAAAAATCGATTTGGTACTCCTAATCCTTTTTCATTTTTTTTGAAAATAAACTTCTAGGCTTTGGTTGCTAACTTAATTGTGCGAATGAGAAAAAGTAACTTGTTCTCCACTTCTTTGTGAAGTACTTGCATTTTAATTTCTTTACTTCTTTGGGGCTTTAAATGACAACTATTTTGTCTTTTGTATGCAAATTTTGCCATTTGAACTTTGAGCCCTAATGTCATATAACTGTCCAATTCTATCCTAGGAATGAGCTTGTATCTAGCAAGGTTAGAAATATTTGCTTGTTATTTCCTGTTGATAGTTGACAAACGATTTGCCCTTCTTTTAGGTTATGAAATTTCCCTGAACATGTTTCTTATATCTAGAGCCTTTAATTTTGGTTTGTTCAATTGAGATTCTTATTCCTTAATATGTACTCTCGTTGTTTCAAAAAAATAACCCAAGGGCATTGAAATTAAGGGAAACATGGGGTTGATTTGTTGAGTTCTAGGGATTTTAGAAGGAAGACATGACTTGGAGCACCAATGTCTAAGCATATGCCTAATTCCAGGAGTGGGGGCAAAGGAAGCTGATTCCTGTGCCTCTTAGTTTTCTTTCTCACTTTCAGATTCCCAAAGTGACTCATTGTAAGATGAAAGATAGTAAAAGACATACTCTTTGGTTGCAAAAGGGAAGAACACAAATGATCTTTTCTTTTAGCGTTAGACGAGTCTTGTATAAGACTTCTTATAGCAGAGATTAGGTGTGGGTTATCCTCAATCATGTAGATAATGAATCAGGTGAAACATGTTCTTATTTTCTTCTCCGCTGTCAATTGGGAGGAGGGAAAGCCAGGAAAGTGTGATTAGCGATCTGTCTATTACCAGATCTCTAATTTGCAGATTTCCGCTTGAAAGAGTTTCAGAGTGTGATTTTCCGTTGTAATCTAAACTGAGGTCAACAAGCCTCAGTGAAAATGGCTGTTGAAAGAATATTTGATTGTATACGAGTTTTGTTGCGCAGAGAGAAATGAATTTGGATACTTATGCTTTTAGCAGGAATCGTTGAAAAAAGGCTCGAAGATGCTCATGGACGGACCTAGGCGGGAGGAAGAGGGGTCCGCCGACCTTGCGGCGGGTAAACTTTTTTGAAAAAATACTTTTAGATTTTTCTATGTTTTTTGGGGAAAAAAATTCTAGTTGTAGTCGACCCTGCAAATATTCGAGATTAGTTCCGTCACTGAAGATGCTTCAATTTTGGACATCTATCTGTGCTGAATCTGCTGCGTTTACTGCAAAAATGTACAGAACTAGAAGTTCATGCCTACTTTTAAAGTGTGAAGAAACAGTAAGTGAAAAAGTTCAAAAACTTGTCCAAAATTCAGTCTCGTAAAAGAAAATACACAGTGTCAAGGATTTGTTTCGATTCGGTTAGTACATTTCCTGAATCTGGTTCGGTTGGATCACTCAATACTTATCTTAATCTCTCTCTTCAAACTTTTCTTTTATACAACCAATAGTGATTTTGGGAACTTCAATTTAAAATTATCATACCAGATGTAGTCGATGGAGTAATTATTGATGATTTAAGGAAGTGCTTGTTTTAAAGGTTTCATATCCCAGCTATGCGTTTCATAGGAACTTTAGTTGCTTGATTTACCCACTTCGAATAATGATGGCCCATTAAATTGGGATTCACTTCAATTTATATTGCCTTTTTCCATACTCAACTAGTCGGGAGAATTTGAATTCTAGGAATCATAGAAGTTAAAGGTGCCTGGTTCGACATTGAGTATGATAGATGGAAATGGGTTTCATACATTTTGGATGGGATTCATATATAGGAGGATTTCAAAACTCTTTTTAGGCTGCTTTGTTCATGAGTTTTTTGAGGAGGGAATTGAATCAAAATTCCATTTTTATCCTTGACTCAAAGGGTTTTGAATTACTGTAATTTTCTCCTTCGGCTGCTCATCCCACTGCTGCTGCCCACTTTTTTCTCTCTTCCTTCCTTTGCAGCCGCCGTCATTGCCATCTCTGCCCGAATAAGCCGCCAATTTCAGTTTTGAAGATATCTTGATGGAGCTCGAATGTATTCAAAATTTTCATTTTATTCCCATCATTTTCTCCACCAATTTTAGATAGAAACAACGATTGTACCAGGAGAGCACAATGACAACTTCATCTTTTTTTATGATTTGATTTTTTTTTTTTTTGCAGATGCATAACACTTGTGCTATCAATTCAATAAAAACAAGAAATCTTTTTCTAATTTTTCTACAATTTATTCACATCAAAATTATGAAATTTTCAATAAGGTAGCAAAACAACAACCAACATGGAAGTAGATCTGGACCGGCGGCAAGAGCTTCACAAGCAAACACGACTGAGGACGTATGTTAGTATTATACTGAGAAAAAATTTGTGAAGAAAAGAGTAGAAGAAGGAAGGAGAGAAGAACTAGATGGATAAAGAAGGGAAAGAACCTTATCATATCACACTCATTAATTTGGTAGGGAATGGAGAAATGGGTTTGAAAGCCAATTTAGTGGGGCTAACGAAGTCATTATATTTGAACCAAAGGCAAATTATCCAGTATACCCGGAGGCACCGTGCCCCCTCTCATATTTTTTGCACGAGTAATCCTTATTGTATTTTTCATCAATCTTTCTATATTTTACAAGTATAGTCCCTGTCATTATTTCTCTCTCTTCCAAAAAAAACATCTCTAATCTTTCAACGAGCATATCTCCCAATCCGTGAAGAATTTGTGAAAGAATTATATATGAAATTTATAGTACTCATCGAGATCTATCCAACGAAATCCACAGTGAACATTTTTTCGGGCTTAAAAATGACTTAATTCTGACGGACAGAATAGAATAGAGGTGGTTATCCATCTTTTTTTTTTTTGAAGAGTGAATGTCAAACATATGATTGGATAACAAGTACGAACATAATGGATAATCACTCCAAACCTGTTGGATAATCAGTAAGAACACAACGGATAACCATTTTTCAAAGAAAAACAAAAAACACGTTTCTTCATTTCTGCCCGTAAAATTTAAATGCATTTAAAGTTCAAACAAATATTCAACATGGATCTTATCGGATAGATCTCGTCGAGCACTATAAATTTCATATATAATTCGTGTTATAATTCTTTACGGATCAAAAGATACAAGGAACACAACAATATGAATGCGAAATAAGTTGGTTATCCATCTTCTCAAACTGGATATCCACTGTGTTCATGTTGATTATCCAATGCGCTAATACTGGTTATCCAATGGATTTACATGGTTATCCAAATTGTTTGAACTGGTTATCCAATATGTTCATATTGATTATCCAATGCGCTAATACTGGTTATCTACTGTGTTCATGCTGATTATCCAACTTGTTTGTACTGGATATCCACTGTGTTCATCCATATCCAACTCTAATCTTTCAACGAGCATATCTCCCAATCCGTGAAGAATTTGTGAACGAATTATATATGAAATTTATAGTACTCGTCAAGATCTATCCAACGAAATCCACAGTAAACATTTTTTCGGGCTTAAAAATGACTTAATTCTGACGGGCAGAATAGAGGTGGTTATCCATCTTTTTTTTTTTTTTTTGAAGAGTGATTGTCAAACATATGATAGGATAACAAGTACGAACAGAATGGATAATCACTCCAAACCGGTTGGATAATCAGCATGAACACAACGGATAACCATTTTTCAAAGAAAAACGAAAAACACATTTCTTCAATTTCTGCCCGTAAAATTTAAATGCATTTAAAGTTCAAAAAAAAATTCAACATTGATCTTATCAGATAGATTTCGTCGAGCACTATAAATTTCATATATAATTCGTGTTATAATTCTTTACGAATCAAAAGATACAAGGAACACAACGATATGCATGTAAAATGAGTTGGTTATCCATCTTCTTAAACTGGTTATCCACTGTGTTTATGCTGGTTATCCAACTTATTTGTACTAGATATCCATCCATTTGGTTTGTATGCATATCAAACTCTAATCTTTCAACGAGCATATCTCCCAATCCGTGAAGAATTTGTGAACGAATTATATATGAAATTTATAGTACTCGTCGAGATCTACCCAACGAAATCTACAGTGAATATTTTTTCGGGCTTAAAAATGACTTAATTCTGACGGGCAGAATAGAATAGAGGTGGTTATCCATCATCTTTTTTTTTTTGAAGAGTGAATGTCAAACATATGATTGGATAACAAGTACGAACATAATGGATAATCACTCCAAACCGATTGGATAACCATTTTTCAAAGAAAAACAAAAAACGTATTTCTTCATTTCTACCCGTAAAATTTAAATGCATTTAAAGTTCAAAAAAAATATTCAACATGGATCTTATCGGATAGATCTCGTCGAGCACTATAAATTTCATATATAATTCGTGTTATAATTCTTTACGGATCAAAAGATAGAAGGAACACAACAATATGAATGTAAAATAAGTTGGTTATCCATCTTGATTATTTATGTTAATGCTGTTTATCCAACTAATTAGTATTATTTATCCAACCTAATTTTTTTTTAAAAAAAATAATAATAAACTAAGTTGGTTATCCAACTCGTTTGTATTGGTTATCCAATCATTGGTTTGTATTGGATTATCCAATGTGCTAATGCTGGTTATCCAATGGATTTACATGGTTATCCAAATTGTTTGAACATGTTATCCACTGTGTTCATATTGGTTATCCAACTTACTGGATATCCAACTTATTCTGCCCAAAGAAATTTGATCATTTTTAAACTCAAAAAAATATTCGAAATGGATCTTGTTGAATAGATCTCGACGAGTACTATAATTTTCATGCATAACACGTTCTCTAATTCTTTACGGATTATGAGATATGGTCATTGAAAGATTGGAGATATTTTTTAAAGGAGAGAGAAAAAAAGTCACAGGGACTAAACTTGTAAAATATAGAAAGATTGAGAAAAAAGTACAATAAGGACTAAAAATGCAAAAAATAGGAGGGGGCACGGTGCTCCCGGGTATACTGGATACAGCCTCGAACCAAACACTTGAAATTGGGATTCATATTTAATCTTTCATTCCAAAGTATTTCATACCTATCAACCAGGCACCTCCGTAAAAAGCTATCAAACCATGCATCTATCATATTTAAACCATTCAACCAGGCACTTCTTAAATCGTTAGGACCAATTTCTTGCAATGTTTAATTGCTATTTGCTACAACCAAAAAAAGTTTTATTGACTAGTTGATAAATTAAAGTGCAAATGTTAGAGAAAATAAATTAATTTTAGTAGGTGATGTTATAAATTTTTAAAATAATTTCTTGTTATGAAATAGGCATGATACCGCTTTTTCGTATATAGGGTTACTATTAGACTCTTACAAAAAGGAAAGAAAATTATAGCTAAAAAAATAGTAAACAAAGAAATAGGAGTTTTTTTGTTCTTACCTTAATTGCAAAAAAAATAAAAAGGTGCAAAATATATAAAAAGGGTATCTAGGTAAAATTCACCCGCACGCCCAATATATAAAGAGAACCCACGAAAGCAAAAACCGTCAGCATCCATATCCTAAAAAAAACCTACGTTAGTATTTCGGTAAACCCCTTTCTCGCCCTAGAATCTTCCGTAGAAGGATTCTGTAGTTTGATTTTCACTTCTTATCAATCCGGTATTTTAATCCATCGTCGGGATCCACTCCGGGCACGTTCCGATCTTAATCTTCAAGTCCGATATAGATTGTTCTTGTTTCAATTGATCCGAATTTGCTGTATTTTGGTTAAACTTCTTGATTTTCTAATTACTTTTTATTTTTTTTAAAAAATTTTCCTTTAAAATTAATGTAATTTTTCTGATTATTGTTCTGAGGTTGTTCTACTGGTCAGTGAACTCTGTTGAAACACGGGCTCTTCTTTGAAGCCTTAGTTAACCGGTAAAGAATCCGTTCCCTTAATATGCTTTTGTTTGTTTTGTTGTGGCATTTTGATTTGATCCTGTTGTTTGGTGTAGATTTGCTATATGAAGTTCATGTTTTTGGTACTTAGGGCTTGTTAATCTATAGTTCCAATTAGCGTTTCATGTTTGCTCTATTCTATGGAGTTTTTTTTGGGGGGGGGGTACTCGTAGTTTTGAAACTTTGTCGAATATGTTTACTGTTTACATTGCTTTTTAGAAAGAGCTGAGATTGTAAGAATCATTCTTATTTGGAACTTCATACTTAACTATTGAAGGAGTGATTGGATATGGTGTTGAGACGAGTTGGATTCCTGTTTGTTCTGATTTATTACCGCTTTATTGAGAACTCATGTGGAATCATAATTTGGAATTCTTTTTCTGGAAATTCTGCATTACAAGTTCTGTCCTGTTTGTCTTTTTGTCTGTTTGTGTAATTTTAACCTTTTTTGGGTAGGAAGTGTTGATGGTCATGTTAAACACTGGTTAAGCACTGTTATGCACTGTGAATCATCATGTATCCTTGGGTTTGTGACTGTAGTAGGATTTGTATTGTGCAAGATCAAAGCATGTTCATGAAAACTTATGTCCTATTTGAGGTGTTTTCTAGTGAGACTATCCATCTATTCTGGTGTTAATTAATGTGAGTGTTGGTGGATACTTGGTTTGCTCTATATAGTACTTGATCTCCCGAAAACTTTGCAATGGAGTATGAAGTGGAGGAGAATGATGGTCCTGGAATCGCGCCTGAATGCGGTGCAATCTTCATGTCTAATACTGCTACAAAGAGGGAGTGCTTTAGGCGAAATATCTTGGCATTTCCATCTTCCAGGGCTAACTTTGTCAAACAGATTAAAAAAGGATTAGTTTTATTCTTGTTTGAAAATGAGAAACGACAGCTATTTGGCGTTTACCGAGCTACTTCTGATGGCGGAATGAATATTTCGCCCCATCCGTTTATCTTTCAGGGAAAGCAACTCTCATGGCAGGTTTGTTGTTGGAGGCTTTCTTATTTTAGTTGTGTATAGTTGTAAACAAAAGGTGGATTCTGAATTTACTTGCTTTAAAAACTATTTTTCTTTATTTAATCTTCAGGTCTCTTTTGCCCCAATTTGGGAGTGTGATCCACTTTCAGAAAATGAATTTTGTGGTGCAATTAGAGATAATTATTATACACCCAAGAAGTTCAATTTTGGTCTGTCACAAAAACAGGTACAATGGGCTTTCTTTGCTACCAAAAGATGCTCTGGTGATGAGTATTTCAATGGTTGATTTATATTGTTTATTGGATTTGTAGGTCCACCGCCTTCTGTCCTTATTTGAAGCAAAGAAGCTACCCCCAAGACAACCGCACAGAATAGTAACTAGGACTGCTGGTAAAGATAGTAGATTTTCCATAAGAGAAAGGTTAGGAACAGCAATCGATGATGATAACTTCCCCCCAATAGGAAGGAATGGATTCTTGCAGAACTCTCCGCATGGAGGCATTGAAGCTGATGACAACATGCTTGATGTAGATTATAAGATAGGAAATGGAGGGAATATCAATTATTCCAGAGGCAACTTATTGACTGATCAAGTTGGTGATTCTCTGCTCGCTAGGAAAAAGTTATATGATGAGTATACTGACTATGGAGTTCATGATTCTCATATTCCTTCAGTACCTTACAAGACTGATAACCGGGAAGTTTCACTGGATAAAGGGAGACCATCAGGTACTTATTGCCGGTCTCCATTTGCCAATAATTATGGAAATGATTGTAGTGTCTATGTGAATCGCTCTCCTGGTGTTGGCACCAATTATTCCAAGGCCTATCCAAACGCAAACAGAAGAGAAGAATATGGAAGGCCTGTCTTTGATAGCTCACGTAAACAAGTTGCTGATAATGACAGGCTCCTTGGAAACAATACCATAGAAACTAAATTAAATTCAAATGGTTTTAGAAGATTTCCTGATGATCATGAAGATTTGCTAAAGAGACCTGGAAGAGCGATCGATAGTACTAGGTTAGGTCATGGTAGGAACCTGGGGGTTGATGGCATTCCTGCAGTTCAACGCAAATATTATGAAAACTTTGATGAATATGAGATAAAAGGAACGTCTGGAGGAAGTAGGCTTTTGATGGATAAAAGGACTGGAGCTGAACGTAATTTGAACAATGGCCTTGAATTTAGCCGTTTCTCTGAGAAATCTCAAAACTTGTTTGAGAGCCACCAAGGAATCGATGTTCCTAGGAGATTGCATCGTGGTGCCCCATTGCACGAACCATACGAACCATCTGGATATGACTCAAGGATTCAAAGACAGGTGGGTGGTGATTTCCAATACAGCAAAGACAATTTACTGGATGACAGGCAGGGCGGGGGAGACTTTACTGGGAATGTCCCCCTTTCTAATTCATTGGATATCCCTAGCAAGTCTTTCCTAGATTTTCAGTACTTGGTACAGAATCTAAAGACCCCTAATTCTGCGTACCATGACCCAGTTGTTACAAGAGTCAATTCAAATGCCCCTGAACGCACTATTATTCCAAAGCACTCTCCCGCTGCTGGATTTGATCAGGGTGCTGGATTATCTGTTGATACTCCTCATTATGGTCCTGGAATAGATTTTCTTGATTTGGTCAATAGAAAACCATGTCAAGGAGAAGGTTCAGGCAGGTCTATCGAATATAGGGATATTCATTTTCCTAGTCATGATTCTGCTCTACCTTTTACTGCTCAAGTTTCTCAGGGCCTGGAACCAAGGTTCTCACCTGCTACTGATGGGAGTTCAATGCATGCTCCATCTAATTATGGATCTCTTCCTTTTCCAGAATCTTATCCTTTGAGAGAGTCTCCTCTTGCACCTGAAAATCGTATGTTGCAGCAAGGGCTGCAAGAGCATGATCAGTATCAAGAGTTGAGCAATCTCTTGGAACCGCATTTTGCTAATGAAGAACTTGGGTACGACAAATGGTGCAGCCCGCAAATACAATTAACTGATCTTGATCAGCGCTTAAATCCTGAACATGTGTATTCTGGTCCTGAAAGGCAGAGGAAAAGTGTTTTTAGTCGTCTAGCATCTCATCCTAGGGCATATGAAGAAGCAAATGAGAAGGATGACGTGTATATGGATGGCTACATGGATGCATCTGTTGATGAAGTCATGGAGATGCTGAATTTCCGTCGAAATGTTCCACAGAAGAACTTTAGAAAATCTAAACCTGTGGCTGGACGGCATGATAGAGATGAAACTGTTAGGATTGGGAAGCGAGCATCTCCAGAAGAGGCTAAAAGATATATAGCATCGCAATTTTCTCCTGGACAGCATGACAGAGATGAAACTATTAGGAATGGGAAGCGAGCTTCACCTGAACGGGCTAAAAGACATGAAGCAACACAAGTGGAGGATGAATCAAGTAGATCCATTGCTGACAGTGCTCAAGAAATTAAAAAAGAGACTAGAGAATTGGAATTCAAACGCCGGAGAGATTTGAAGAATGGGTTGGGTGAAGATAGTGCTAAGAGTAATATTTCCAGTAAAGAGGACAATTTATCACGAGAGAAAGCTGACTCAGAGTCGACGGTAAATAAACAGCAAAAACGTAGAAAGCTGGTCCGCCCCAAATTTGGTTGAAGTAATGCTATCTGTTAATCCTGCTCGTGATGAAGGTTTGCATTCTTAATCCTATTCCTCGACTAGTGAAATAAATTGAGATTAAGGGAACTCAGCTAAATATGTGATTGTGATGATACCATGCCATTCTGTGGATAGCTTTTTCTGAATGTGTTGGAATGTCTAAACCCGTATATTTACTTATCCCTTGATGAAGACTGCATAAACTGGGGAAGGGCATCTTTGGAAGCTTGTAATTAAGGTCAGCTTATTTTGTATCTTTTGGTCCCCGATAGCCTTCGAAACCAAATCCCATCTGAAAGAAATAGTTTTCTGCGCTTCCGGATATAGTAGAGGATAGTGGAAGTGAAAGTTATGTCTCTACGTGTTCAAACTGGCCCTTCCTTTGACTAAGAAGCTCGCTGTTGGATTTGGAGGTAGTACTGACATGTCTGACTACAGTAGTCCAGCTTTGTACTCTGTTCTGAAAATTTTCACTCGCATCTAAAGTGGATGACAAAGAGGTGTGGTTAGTTCGTCAAAAAAAAAAAAAAAAAAAAAAAAACGAAAAAAGGAAAGAGGTTTGTTTAGTTGGATTCTGTTTCCTTGATTGTGCTACAAGCCTTGGGTTTTTATGGATTGTTAAAATTACCACTTTGATGCGCTGAATCGCGGAAGGCTTATGAGCTGGAAATGTGGTAAATTTAAATTCTGATAGGTGGACCTAGTTTCCCAGATTTACTTTTGCAATTTGAAGTCTCAGTAATCGTGGCAAGGATCCTCAGATCTCATCATTAAGGATTGCGGATGGATTTTTGTTCATGAATTGCCTTTGGCTGAACGGATTTCTTGGCGTTTCAGATTAAACTTTCTTACCAGCCAAGTCCGGGTAGTCATTTGCATTATTATATCAAGGGCCAAAGTCTGGGTAGCTCACCAACAGTTCATCCTTACTGTTCTGTTTCTGTGGTTTTATGAATATTCCTTCAAGCTTCAAAGGGACGAGCAAATGAGGAGGCTGTCGGTTCTGATACTAAACCTGTTTCCGGAACTTTTAACAAGCATTAGACTAGATTTCTTCAAAGTCTTTGTCTCAGTCCATGTAAAATCTAAGTCAGAGTCATATTTGTGATGTTTGATCGGTTGATCAGCGGAATCTCAATCTTCATATATATACTTTTGCATTGACAAGTTGCAATGTGTTAGTATTTTCTGGGCAGCATTAAATCTGGGGATCATCAATTCATCACTAGAAGAAGCATGATTAGGCATGATTTCTCAAACTCTCAAAAATTTAACAAAAAGTATTTGTATCTATAGATAAAAACTTTTGTTCGGTCAAATTCTTGAATGGATGTCTAAATCAAACTTATTTTACACAATATTACATTCATCCTATGCTGTACGGTTTTTTCTGCAAAATCAATTTAACACATTTCTTTTCACAGAGGGAGAAATTATAATGCATTATTATTAGAGGGATGGTTTTCTTTTTCCATTTTTTTTTTAAATTAAAATTCTGAGGGGTATAAGTGTCTTTATCCGTACAGCACATCAGTACTGTTGAATCCATTTTCTCTACCGTTGCGGTTTAATAGTCAAATCTGAAAGCAGCAAAACTCCACTCCACCGACCCACTGCCTACAGATGCAACGTCCGCGGCGGCGCCACCGCTATGGCGCCCAGATTTGTGCTCTGTTTGCCGCCGTGCTCCTCCTGCTATCCGTCTCTCTCCTCCACAACCGTCTCAACTTCTTTCATTCCCAATCTGCTGCGGTTCATCCCCATTCCCTCTCCCAGCACGATGCCGGGCTTTCACTAAGTAACAATCCGCTTCTCGACGACTCCACCGATTCACTCGACCGTTCTTCCAACTCCGACGATCTCATTGACGAGCACGATGACTTCGTCTTCAACAAAAACATCAACAACATCGACAATGTTGGCGACCTCTTTAATGTCGAATCTGAGGAAGATGCCGATGAAGAAGACGACGACGTTTCTGCTCAAAGCGAGAAAGCTTCTTCACTTTACTACTTTGATCACCTCAACGGTGTTGTTAGGAGGGGTTTTAATAAGAAAACCATTGAGGAGTGGGAGGATTATATTAGCTTCGAATCAAAGCTGGGATTGGAGTTAGGGTTTAGCAATGAGGGATCAAAGACAGCTTTTGGATCGGATGATATCCCGGTGAATGAGAAAACCCGGAAAAAGTTGACTGAAATTCAGGAAGTTGAGGATGCTTTGTTGCTCAAGGGTTCAAAATTGAGGGAAGGATGGGGTGAATGGTTTGATAAGAAAATTGATTTCCTGAGAAGGGATAGGATGTTCAAGTCGAATTTGGAAGGAGTTAATCCTTTGAATAATCCGTTATTGCAGGATCCTGATATGCCTGGAGTTACAGGCCTAACTAGAGGAGACAAAGTTATGCAGAAAGGTTTATTGCATGAGTTTCAGAAAGTGCCATTTCTGGTCAAGAAGCCCTTGGCAGTGGAGGAGTCCAAGAATGTCATCGAAACTGTAAATACTGATGTACAGAGAGGTGAAAACAAGAAGATAAAGGGAAAAACTTTGGATCGCAATCTTAGGAGTACTCAGGATAGTCCTAAAACTGACTATAAAGCTGTTGATAACCCTGGTTATATTAGGAAACAAGTTGGAGAGGATTTGGATCAGAGTCTTAATGGTGTTGATGATCCTGGGCATGTTAGGAGGTCAGCTGTTGATAGCAAGGATTCAAATCAGAGCAAGGTGTCAGAGATATCCAATAATAAAGAGCGAAGACGTGAGCGGAAGAATCCAACCAGTGAGTTTGCAGGGTTAGTGTTAGCTGATGGAAGGAGATGGGGCTACTACCCGGGATTGGATCCGAGATTGTCGTTTAACAATTTTATGGAATCATTTTTCAGAAAAGGTAGGTGCAGTATGAGGATTTTCATGGTGTGGAATTCTGCACCATGGATGTTTGGTGTTCGTCATCAGAGGGGGCTCGAGAGCGTGTTCTTCCATCATAGAGATGCTTGTGTAGTGGTTTTCACTGAGACGCTTGAACTGAATTTCTTCAGTGGCTTTGTGGAGGATGGGTATTTCAAGCTTACTTTTTGTTTTCTGAACTGATCTTACTCCTTTCCATGTCTTTAAACAAAGCCTCAGTGAACGGAGAAATGCTGATAGGGATAAAGCAAAAAATAGTTTACTTGAATTTAATTCAATATGTTCGTCTAATGCTTTTAGCAATTTTTGATGTAAATAAATCAAATATCTGACCTTGCTGTGCATTTTACCAGTTACAAGGTGGCTGTGGCAATGCCAAATCTTGATGAACTACTTAAGAACACTCCAACTCACATATTTGCATCCGTCTGGCATGAATGGAAGAAGACAAGATATTATCCCTTACATTATAGTGAACTCATCAGGCTTGCTGCTCTCTACAAGTAAGCAAAGTGAATTGTTTAGCGTACTTTATGAACTGCCTTGATACTATTCAAATTTTCTAGGCTACTGACTAGTTTAGAAAAACGTAGATAGTTTGAGAAAGCTCACGGAATGCTTCGGAAAATGAGATTTTGCAATAGAATCTAGTAATAGACCTCCAATGATAAGTGAAAATTCATGAAGAATGATGTCCCTGAAAATTAGCTATCACTATTTATTTGAAAACCCATTCTTATTATTGTTCATTTACTTGTTTACGCCTCTGCATTTTGGCATGAAAAAGTGCAAATTTAGCTTAGGAGCCAGGATAATAGTTGGAAAAGCGAATCCTTATTCTTTCTAAGCTTTAAGTTATTTTCTCTTTCTCCTGCTGTTGTTCCTCTTCCATGCATTGGCATGCTTTTAGATTTGTTGCTAAAGCATTATCATTTATGAAAATTGACACTTGGAATTTGACTCATATGATTTGGTCGCAAAAGTTTTTAATTAGGTCCAATTTGCAGATTTAGTCTCTCTCCTTCTTTTTTTTTTTTTTTTAATTTTTTTTACCCCTCGTAGCTATTGCTGAACTCTAAACTCGACAAATATTTTACTAAGAGAAAACTTGAAATACTGGAAGTTTGCCACCTTTTCTGTAATAATCATTCTTATTCTTTTTTGCATGGTTTCTTGCTGCTTATAAAACAACTTTGGGCTCTTATTTATGCTTACAACTTACTCTTCCCCATAAAACATGTTCTGTGTTCAACTTAAAGACCGAGTCAGAGGATATTGTAGTTATTACGTTCTTTAAATGCACAAAAACATAGCAACGAAACTATTTTAGTTTCTGAACTAGTTGTAGTATTATTGATTCTCTGTTACTCTTTGGCTGGCAAAAATTTCAATTTTTTTGGAAGTTGAAAACTATAATCATGATCATGAACTGAAGCTAACATGTTCGTTTCATTTTGTAGATATGGTGGAATCTATCTTGACTCTGACATAATAATACTCCAGCCCCTCTCATCCCTTAACAATACTGTTGGTATGGAGGAAAAGAACTCCTTGAATGGTGCTGTAATGGCATTCAGGAAGCACAGGTAACAAGCACAACATGTCCTCTCTGGACTGTTGAATAAATTGTAGTGTTGCCTGTAATTTTAATCGGAACTGTAATTGTAAAAGGCCATAGGGAAATACTTTTAGAACATGTAAGCCTCAACATATACACATAGTTTTAAGAAAATCTGTCAATAATATTTATGTACGCAATGCTGCTAAGTTTTTCCATGAACCGTGGAGACCACCTTATTTAAGGAAACAATCCTTAGTTCAGGATTCTGGACTGATAATATTTTGTTTTGATGAAATAAAAGAGAGATTAAATGTTGATATATACAATAATCTGGCACTTTCACCATAAACATGATAGTATTTACCACTGTCATTTTTTTTTTTTTTTTTTCATTTTTGGGTATAAATTTAATGAGTTATTGATGGTTCATTCATGCCTTTTATTTGTCAACTGCAGTGGATCAAATTGCATTGTCATGTATGGGTAGTCATGTGTACCCAAAATAATTTTTGCTTACACGTAGTTATTCATTTTAAGTTAATATTTCATATCTAAGACTAGTACACCTTTTTACATTTTTTACTTTAAATACTAAAACAGGGATAAAGTTGTTGTCCATACAAGGCTTGTACTGTTTTAGGAGAACACTTATGTTTCCCTGGGGGTGCTAATATCAAGCTTTTGGTTGTTGTAAAGTTGGTTATATTGCTGTTTTTAAATATTTTGTGAAGTTTGCTTAATCTTGCCGAGCATGGTTAAGTGTCTGGAAACTACTTTAACAAGTTTCATTTTGCCTTCAATACAAATGTCTTAATTTGACTAATATATTCTGTTAGTTTCTAGTATATGCCCGACCGTTAACAACTAAAATCTACAGTGAAATCATTAACTCTATTAAGTTATGAGTATGTGATACCTAGTTAGAGGTACAAAAAATTTCCGTTCATGTAAGGGTAACGGTACACAGGAAAGATAATTTAAACTTAGTGGTTAACCTATTGAGCCTACCGATCTGGGTCGGAGGGAATAACAGAAATCTTTTCAAGGTTGTTTCCCCATCTTGACCAGCTAGAATGTTGTCTATGCGCTACTCACATTTTACCAGCTTGTCTTGTTAAGAATCCCGAACGAAAATGCTAATTTGGGCGGGCGTATATAATTGCCAGGGCTATTTCTAGAGATAATAGTTTATTTTTGTTACCATTATAGCAAACTTTCAGCCAGGGGGAACGTTTTATGGTGCAATGTGGAGGCTTTATTGGAATAGTTTTGCAATCAAGAAGTTTGGGAACCATGCTTCATTCCTTTCAAATTCTTTGTAGATTTCTGTTAGAAGCAAATCTTAACAATGTAGTGTATTTTACTCAAGCCGGTACAGTAGTTAAAGTTTTTGTGGAACTTGCTTTGGTGGAAATTTCATTGTAAGTGTCTGAGTGTGCTAAGGAGAACCCAAAGTTATTTAGGCATATGAAAGCACGTTATATAAAATTCTTGCGGTCTTGGATTAAAAGGTAAAACGGGTTTGTTGATTGGTTACTATTTGTATCCCATAATCTGAATGGTTGATGTGTGGTTAAAGAGTATATGGCTATAAAAATGGCAAGAGCCAAATTCGTAATTATCAGTTTCTAAAGGTTGTTTAATGATGTTCAATATGGTCGTGTTTATTCATGTCGAATAAGTTAGTGAGGACTTAGGGCCTTGTGAATTGCTTAAATAGAATAATGATGAGCTTTGGATTGGTATTGACGCAGCACGAACGTGCGTATTTAAAATACAGATCGGAGATTAAGAAACCTTGAGTACCCAACAGGGAAATTTAAGAAAAACTCAGAAAAGATAGCTTAAAAGAAGTAGTATTGCAGCGGGAAACTAAATGGCAACCAATTAAGAATTACTCTTAGTCACCTTTGGCGTCACACCTCAGGATTTAAAGCTGAATCACTCAACTTTTTGCAAAGCAAAGCTTATTGCAGGAATTTTATTAATCAACGTCTAAAAATCCCTGAAGGGATGCAACCTTATTTATAGGCATAAAAAGACTTAAACCAAAACCTATTAGGAGTCTGATTTGGGAAGTTCAGAATCTTCTCCCTTATTACCTAATAACACTTAGAAACTAAATAGGAAACAAATACTCAAACTAATTCCCTAAAACCAGAAAATCCTGCAACAATGCAAAATATTGAAATACTCTTATACTAAAATACTGAAAAACAAATATAAAAAGAACTTAAATACTTCCAGCAGCTTATTCAAGCTCCCAGGCAGGCTCATGCTCATCAAGATTATTCCATATAAGAGTTTGAGCTTTGGAACCTCTCCTAGTATAAAATTTGGTACTTTTCGACCATTTGTCCCCATCATTTCTCCCCGGCTTGAAAGAACTCGACTCCGGCGAGTTAAAAGCTTGATATCTCTCATAAAAGTCCGGATCCAGCTGCTGAAATTCAGATTCAGTGATCCAAGTGCAATCTGACCTTGGTCGCCCTTCCCAATGAATGAGAAATTTCTGATAACCCCCAGCTCTAGTAGACACAATTTGGGTATCCAAAACATCATGAATTTTGTCTCGAGCTTGTGGAATAGGTGGTAGAGAAACTACGGGTAATGTATCCGTAGAAACCTCATCATGACCAAAATAGCGCGTCAAATCCTCAATATTAAAAACATTGCTAATGCCATAATCATCAGGTAGATCAAGAACATAGGCGTTAGAACTAATCTTCTTGAGAATCTTGTAAAGCCCAGCCTTGCGCGAATGAAGCTTTTTGTAAGATCCAGGCGGGTACCTCTCAGGACGTATTCTCACCAAAACTTCATCTCCCTCTTCAAATTCAGTAAATCTCTTTTTCAGATCAGCATGTGACTTGTATTGTTCATTGCTGATAGCTATTCTACGCCGAAGTTCATCATGAATCTCCAAAAGATGCCTAGAAAAAGCTTCAGCTTCTGCACTAGGACGTGCACTTGAAGGCAATGCCGTTAGATCTATAGGCTTCCGAGGATTAGCACCAACGACAATCTCAAAAGGACTGTAACCAGTAGAACTATTGACTGAACTGTAGTAAGTAAATTCAGTCATGGGTAACACTTGATCCTAGCTAGATGTATGATCCCCTACCAAACACCTTAGAAGATTTCCAAGGCTACAATTAACAACCTCTGTTTGACCATCTGTTTGGGGATGAAAAGCAGAAGAAAACTTAAGATCAGTTCGCAGCATCTTCCATAGAGTTCGCCAAAAATAACTCATGAAAATTTCACATCTCGGTCTGAAACTATAGTTTTAGGCAACCCATGTAGTCGGACAATTTCTTTGAAGAAAAGTCTAGCTATATGTGTAGCATTTGATGTCTTTGCACATAGAAGAAAATGAGCCATTTTTGAAAATCTGTCCACAACCACAAAAATTGAGTCAAAACTCCGTAATGTTTTTGGCTGCCCTAGGACAAAATCCATACTCACATCTTGCCAAGGTGCATGTGGGACGGGCAATGGTGTATATAAATCAGTATTTTGTTTCTGCCCTTTACCCAATTGACATGTTCTACACCTAACAACAGTTCTACACCTAACAACAGTTCTGTCCACAACTCTCTTCAAACTTGGCCAATAAAACCTATCCTCCACCAAGGCAATGGTTTTATCTCTACCAAAATGTCCAGCAACACCCCCTCCATGCAGCTCACGAATCATTTCCTCCCCGAGAGAGGTATTAGGCAAAAACAGACGTGTTCCCTTGAAAAAAATTATGTATTGAAAAATCAGGATAACCCGCTTGCTGTCCAGCCTTTATATCTGCATATATAATCTGAAAATCTTTGCAACTAGGATAGTCTTGCTTTAGGGACTCAAAACCAATCACTTGCACAGCCATAGAAGTAAGAACATGATGCACACGACTAAGAGCATCAACCATCTTATTCTCAGTCCCAGCCTTATGTTTAATCACAAAATTATACTGCTGTACGAAAGAAACCCACTTTCCATGTCGGTGACTCAACTTCGTTTTTGAATTAATGTATTTTAAGGCTTCATGATCTGAATATAGCACAAATTCCTCATAAATAAGATAATGATGCCAATGACGAAGTGACTGAATAACAACATAGAACTCCTTGTCGTACGTAGAATACTTCTACTTAGCATCATTCAGTTTTTCGCTGAAATAAGCTACAGGATGCCCTTCTTGGCTGAGAACTCCTCCAATGCCGACATTTGAAGCGTCACAAGCTGCCTCAAAAACTTTAGAGAAATCAGGTAACTTGAGCATGGGTGCTTCGGTCATCTTGCTCTTTATCTCTTCAAAAGCCTTTTGAGTAAACTTATCCCACTGAAAACCATCCTTCTTCAGGCAGTTGGTTTTTGGTGCCATAATGGTACTGAAACCTTTGATAAACCTCTGATAAAACGCGGCTAAACCATGAAAACTTCGTACTTCCTTAATAGTCTTAGGAGCTGGCCACTCTACAATTGCCTTCACTTTGTCTGAATCAGCTTCTATACCTCTGCGGGATATGATACATCCCAAGAAAACCACACTTGTAGTCATGAAACTGCACTTCTCGCTGTTGGCATACAACTTCTCTTGACGTAAAACACGCAATACTTGCCGAAAATGATCAAGATGTTCGTCCTTTGTGGTGCTGTAGATTAAGATGTCATTAAAGTAAACCACAAGGAACCTACCAATAAAAGGCTGAAATACTTGAATCATAAGCCTCATAAAAGTACTGGGAGCGTTTGATAGCCCAAATGGCATAACTAGCCATTCGTCAAGACCATCCTTAGTCTTGAATGCTGTCTTCCATTCATCTCCTGGCCTAATTCTCACTTGATAATACCCTTTCCTCAGATCAATCTTTGAAAAGACTGTTGCTCCAGCCATTACATCCAACATATCATCAAGACGTGGAATAGGAAATCGATACTTGACTGTAATCTTGTTAATAGCTCGGCTGTCAACACACATCCTCCATGTTCCATCCTTTTTGGGTGTCAATAATGCAGGAACAGCACATGGACTCTTGCTTTCTTGAATGGAACTCTTTGCCAATAACTCATCCACTTGTTTGTTGAGCTCCGCAGATTCAGCCAGGTTCATACGATAAGCCGGTAAATTAGGAAGCTGTGACTCAGGAATTAGATCAATAGCATGCTGAATATCTTGCATAGGAGGTAATCCACTAGGTAAATCTTCAGGGAAAACATCAGAAAAATCTTTCAGTAGTGTAGCAATCTCTGGTACAAGGGTTATTGAGTTAAATAAAACCTGAACTTGTATCTCTTTCAATACCAAGGCCATCAGAAATCCTTCTTGCTTGCATTCGCTCTCAAATTGCTTCTTGCTGAGAATCTGCAGAGACTTATGTTTGGTCATAGTCCCTTTACTTGGTTTGGGATCTGGTTGTTTCTTCACAATTATATGCTTCTTAAAAGTTTCTGGACTTTGAGGTTTCAAAACAATTTTCTTACCCTTGAATGTAAAGGCATAAGTGTTGTTTCTTCCGTCATGCGTCAGCTCCTTATCATACAACCATGGTCGTCCCAATAAAATATGAGCAACTGTCATAGGGATAACATCACACCAAACTGAGTCTTGATATGGTCCTCGTCTGAAGTTCACTAAGCATCGCCTAGTTACTGGAATGGTGGTGTCATTTATCCAAGCAACCTTGTATGGCTCCGGATGTGGCTCTGTAGGAAGTTTGAGCTTCTCCACTGTATATTCTGAAACTACATTCATGCAACTTCCTCCGTCAGTGATGAGCATCTTGGTGTCACTTCCACAAGATACAAATGTCTGAAATAGTGAAGTTCACTTCCAATCTTCTTGGGCAGCCTTTGGGGTACTGAGAATGCGCATCACGACATGTAAGTATGATGTGTCTGCACCACGGTTTCCAAGATTTTCTCCATCACACATTCTCAACTCCTCTTCATCATCATTGTATTCTGGCTCCTCATACTCTTCATCCACAGGGTCACAAATGAGTAAATTTCTCTTAGTTGGACACTCATAAGCCATGTGGCCCTTAATTCCACACTTAAAGCATTCATCCTTCTGGCCCTTTTCCTTCAACAAAAGCACTTTATTTATTGGTTCAGCAGCACTGCAGGCTTTGTGAACCTCCTAGGTGCTGTAAATTTCCTGTTGGACGTCTCCCCAGCTTGGTTGTTCATTCTCGTAAAAGGTTGCAGGACCTTTAAACTTTTCTCAACCCTCAATGCAAGATGAAAACTTCTTCTATGGTCTTTATCTGGTGGGTAACCATCTGATTACGTATCTCTGGTCTTAATCCTTGCTTGAAGCGAGCTAAAGCCACCTCTTGGCTCTCAACAGCTCTGGTTGAACTTTCAATTCTTCAAATCGGTTCATATAATCGATCACAGTCATTCCTCTTTGCCTTAGGCTACTCAGATCATCAAGAAGTTCACCCTTGAGTCTGAAAACTCGTATTTTTTTTTTTCAACTTGAACTTCATATATTCCCAAGTAACATTCGGATCTAGCCCAAGAGCTTCAATCTGTTGCTCAACTCCTTCCCACCATATTAGAGCTTGTCCCTTCAATTTCATTATGGCAAACCTTGCCTTCCTCTCTTCAGGCATCTCATACCAACTAAAATAGCGCTCCAGCTTCTTCATCCAATGAATAAAAACTTGAGGATCGATTTTTCCTTCAAAATCAGGTACCTCCAACTTTGTTCTCCTAACAATCTCTTCCACAGGATTAGAAACATACGGGTTTCGCCTATCCCATTGTTTCTCATCCTTTTGCTCTAGGAGTTGATGGATCTCATCCTTGAAGGGAGCATACGATTGCTGCAGTTGATCAATCTTGCTGGGCGTCTTCAGAACTTCTTCTGATGCAACTCCCTTGCCATCACGTTTGGGAACCTTTTGTGGTGATCCAGGTTCTTGCGCACCAGTTTCAGAAGTTGGGTTGAGCAATTGGGTCTCAATCTCTAGAATTCTTGCTTCTAGCTCTACCAATTTCTTTACCACGGTAGTCAGAATATCCTGGCTGCTTCCCTCTGCATATTCTCTCCCACTTTTCAGCTTCATCGTGAAAAGTTAAACCTGGCTCTAGTACCAAATTGACGCAGCACGAGCGTGGGTGTTTAAAATACAGATCGTAGGTTAAGAAACCTTAAGTACCCAGCAGGGAAATTTAAGAAAAACTCAGAAAAGATAGCTTAAAAGAAGTAGTATTGCAGCGGGAAACTAAAGGGTAACCAACTAAGAATCACTCTTAGTCACATTTGGTGTCACACCTCAGGATTTAAAGCTGAATCACTCAACTTTTGCAAAACAAAGCTTATTGTAGGAATTTTATTAATCAACGTCTAAAAATCCCTGAAGGGATGCAACCTTATTTATAGGCATAAAAAGACTTAAATCAAAACCTATTAGGAGTCTGATTTGAGAAGTCCAGAATCTTCTCCCTTATTACCTAATAACACTTAGAAACTAAATAGGAAACAAATACGTAAACTAATTCCCTAAAACCAGAAAATCCTGCAACAATGCAAAATACTGAAATACCCTTATACTAAAATACTGAAAAATAAATATAAAAAGAACTTAAATACTTCCAGCAGCTTATTCAAGCTCCCAGGAAGGCTCATGCTCATCAAGATTATTCCATATAAGAGTTTGAGCTTTGGAACCTCTCCTAGTATAAAATTTAGTACTCTTCGACCATTTGTCCCCATCAGGTATAGACTATCTTCTAGTTGCTAAAGGGTTAAGTGATGCTATCTGATGAGCCATGTTGTTTTTTGCGCATATTGCATGAGTGGAATTTTGCATTTAGCCTGATTGTTTAACTGTATTCTTGATATGAACATTTTGGCAGTCCATTTTTATTGGAGTGCTTGACGGAGTTTTATGCATCATATGATGATACCCTGTTGAGATGGAATGGAGTTGATCTTTTAACTAGAGTTGCTCATAACTTTTCAAGTAGCGTAAATGGTATTGACAAAAAGATAGAGCTCAGACTTGAACCTTCATATGTTTTCTTCCCCATTGACCGGAGTAGCATTACAAGGTACAATCTTGAACATTTCTTTGCCTATAATCTCTTCTGCTTAGTGCTATCTTGGCTTTGAATTCTCAGTAATATTCAAAGGCATATCCTGTGTTCCTGTGAACTCATTTTTCACTCGAAAGATTCGGGAGCTATTCTTATTTGCAGCTTATTCTAGCATCTCTTCCAAGTTTATGTTTTTAGGTGATCACCACATGAAGCAAAAAGTTTACTTTAATTGAAACTTCTGGCTTTTGAAAGTTTTAAGTAGCTGTGAGTAAGCTGAATACTGAGAACAAGCATTTACACAGAATCACAAGTTGTGGGGATCTGTTCTTTATGCATATGTATGAAAAATGTTAAAACAGACTTGGACATGGGCTACATCGGGTCAATCAGTACTAAGAGAAAGTGTTTTGATTAAAGATTGTCATCAATTTAACCGTCCTTGCTGGCAGTTCAGCTGAGAAATTTGTTCTGTGAGTTTTAAGTTAACTCTATTATGCATGGGAATCTATTAACCTGTTTTCATTGCGCAGAAATGTTTATACCCTTAAAATGAATGGTGTGATTATTATACAAATTTAGGTTAGATTATATGATAGCGCCATGTATTGATATTGTTTGAGAAAAACTTGGAGAGTCTGGAAATTCTTTATTAAGTTCATTTGCATTTATATAAAAAAAAAAGTTCATTTGCCAACTAGTGCAGAAAGGATGTTTTTATCCATTTTAGTGGCTCGAGGAAATCAAATTGACTGAACTGTCATGTATTTTAATGAAATGCTGGTGTGACTTGATTTTCTGTTGTCTCTTCTTTGTGTCTGTTGTTGAGTGGAAATCCAGAACTCAATTCTGGACTCGGTTTTCTCATTAATCCATGGGAAATTCTGAAAACATTTTTTTCCTAACAATGCTTGAATAGGTACTTTTCTGCGCCAGCAACAGTTGCTGAAAGAGCCAAACAAGATCTACTGCTAAACAAGATCTTGAACAAGTCAGTAACAGTTCATTTCTGGAACAGTTTAACAGCTTCTCTGATTCCGGATCCAGAGAGCCTTGTCTCTAGGCTCATTAACCAGCCATGCATCCGCTGTTCTGACATATTATAGGTTTATTTTGAAGCTTCTTTTGCTTTTCGAAGAAACTTCCTGCCAATTTTTCTTTTTTGGAATTAGCTAAAGACGGCATAAGAAATCTCCTGGTGTTGGTTAATCCTGGGAGGACGGTAGAGAGCAAAAGCGTTGCACTATCCTTGATGGTATGACATTGGTAGGTGCTGTGAGGGAAAGCTGGGTAACAACTGATCAGGGTGGACGAACTTGAAGCTGGAAGAAAAGGTGTCCGGCATTAGTTTTTTAAACAATTCTCTCTCGAAGTTCAAATGAACTCCCTTGGTGCGTTCTCTGTTTAGTTGCTGGAGTGTCCTGATTCAAGGGATATATTCATATTATACGTAAGATATATATAGTCATTTTGTTTTGCAGATTTCTAGAGTAGATACTGTGGTCAATCATTTTTTTTTTTTGTCTATTCATAGTTTTAACCATTACGTAATTATATAGCAAGGAGGAAGGTGCATTTCGGTTGCCATCGTGTGTTCTGTGGCCTCAGTTGTAAATTGTAAACATGAATGTATCAGTAATAGCTTTATGTATTTCAACTTCCTTTTTACCTCCAATATGCTGGAAAAACATCATTGCCAATTCGCCATGACGAAGAATCATCCGACTACCCGTTATTGGGTGTTTTTTTTTTTTTTTTTTTAAAGGTCTACCCCTTATTGTTATTATTGACTTATTCCACAGCTACTAAGAAACTCAGTTCTCAATTTCTTGAGCGATAACAGAACATCATGCATGTCTTTTCTTGCATCAGGGGATTCTGCAGTGCAGCCCAATGCCAACTCCATGACAGAAGAAACACATCTCAGCTTAGCATGAAACTTCTCTTCATTAGGATTCAACAAATTTGAGTCTGCTACCTGCAGTATTCTACTTGGAAAAGAATCTAGCACCCACTTCCTCAAGGTAATATTTCCGGTAAACATATCATCACTTGGTTTGGTCCTGGTGAAAGTCTCCATCATCAGGATACCGTAACTGTAGACATCGCACTTTGTTGAAACCCGACCATCTATTCCATATTCTGCATCCGATAATTTTAGAGGTCATTGCATTGATTTGTAAATCTTTGTACAAGAATGTTGAAGAGAGTAATTTGAAATTGGGAAAGAGAATGAATCACTTACCTGGTGCTATGTACCCAATAGTTGCAAAGGTTTGGGTTACTGCAGTTGCATTTTCGGCTGTCAACAGTTTTGCAATGCCAAAATCACAAACATGCCCTATCATGTCTTCGTCTAGCAAGACATTCCGAGGCTTCACATCACAATGCACCACTGGCGTAACATGACCATTGTGGAGATAATCCAAAGCTGAAGCGACATCTATCATGATATCAAGCCTTTGGAAGATGTCCAGGAAATAATTATGAGAATATAACCATTTCTCAAGGCTTCCGTTTGGCATGTACTCTAGTACTAAAGCTTTGAAGTCCATGTGCAGGTTGGAGCAACTAGTGATGACTTTGGTTAGATTTCTGTGTCGGATGCAGCGGAGGACTTCACATTCTGTATCAAAGCTCTTCTCTGCTCCTGAAAATTTCAAGTTAAATACTTTTACTGCAATAGAAGTTCCATCAGTGAGCATGCCTTTGTAGACTGAACTATAACTCCCAGTACCAACCAGGTTGCTTTCATTGAATCCACTAGTTGCTTTTTTGAGTTCATGATACGAAATCCTTTCAAGTGTGAGTGCAACGGATGCAACTGCTTCTTCAATCGTATCTTTCTTTTTCTTCGGTCGTCTTATCAGTAAAAAGTAAAAAACTGATGCAAGAACAAGCGATGAAACTCCCAGAAGGGCATAGACAACCAGGAGTTTACATTTACGTCTTCTCTTGAGAGAGATGACGGGGCAAGGCATCACTTGAAATCGCGGAGCACCACAGAGTGCATCATTTGATACAAAGGATTCATTTGTGAAGTTCTGAAAAGAACCATTGCTAGGAATCTTTCCACTTAATTGGTTGAAGGAAATATTGAACTTTTTAAGATACACAAGATCTTCCAATGACTCTGGAATCTCTCCAGTTAACTTGTTTTGTGATAAATCTAATGCTTCCAAGCTTACCAGTTTACCAAATGATTCTGGGATAGGTCCATCTAAGTCATTGTGGGCCAAAGAGAGATTGATCAAGTTCTGGAGACCACCTATCGAGTCTGGAATATTTCCAGAGATGAAGTTATTGGACAAGTCAATTGCTGTTATGACCTTCACATTGCCGATTTCTGGAGGTAGATTGCCAGTAAGTGAATTTGAGGACGCGTTAAACTGCAAGAGATCTTTCAGCATCCACAAGCTTGGAGGCAACTGTCAAACCCCAAAATATGTCCCAAATAAAAGTAGTAGACTGAAATATAGTTGTTTCAGGGAGTGGTCAGAAAAAATATATGCCGGAAATCCAATTTCCGTTTTTCGTTGCAATGGTAATAAACCGGATTTCCAAATTCCGTTTTTGTAGAATTAGTTGTAATAAGTACTTTATAATACGCTGATTATCAAAACGGATTTTCAAATTCCGTTTTGCACTTAACAATTTATATAGAATTTTTCGAGCAACCAAACAAACGGAAAATAATTTTTTTTCTGAAACCTAAAACGGAAATGGAAAATCCGTTCAAAAGCTGTATTACAAAACGGAATATCAATATCCGTTTTAAAGCTGTTAAGGAAAAAAAAACGGATTTGGTTTATCCGTTTTTGGACTATAAAAAAGAAAAACGGATGTTTGACATCCGTTTTTAAAGCAGTAAACAGAAAAAAAACAGAACAGGTTTGCAATTGCAAACCTGTTGAAACCTGTTAAAAAACAGTTAACAAACAGCACCAAAACAACACCAACAGCAGCCTCAACTCAAATCAAATAACCCTTGAATTCACACATTAATTCAACAAAATATTTCAATTCTAACATGTTTAAATAAAAGACTACATCACAAAATATTGATCAAAAGTAGATTATCAACAAAATGATGCCATTACAATTCCTCCTCGGGTTGGGCAGTGGATGGCGTGTAGCGATTGACTTTCTTTAGTTATCTACGCGGCCTTGCTAACGCCAAAGGTAGACTAGATTCCACATCCATATTTGTAGATTCACCTTCTTGGTTGGCTTCGTCCTGATGATGGGGGGTTGGAGTTTGGAACAAGTCGGCATTGAGTTCAAAATCAAATTTTGGTTCTTCTTCTTCAACAATTTTCTGCCTTCCTCCTCCAATCCCACGGTGAGGAATGTTCCGTTTGCGAACTTTGCCAACCGGTTGAGAAGGTTGTGGTTGAAGATCAACAAGTGATTGTGTGGGTATCAAAATTGGCATCTCATGTGCTCCAAGGGATAAAGCACTCATAGAATGAGAAGTGAGTTCAAGAAGGAGATTCGTACAAACTGAATTTTGGCAGACATCTTCTGATTTCTTGTAGTCTTCTACCATTTTGCAGATGTCGCTCAAAGCATCAGCCTAAAATCAATTTAACCATTAAAAATGTAATTAAAAAAATAACAAACCTGAAAATTCTTTAAAAAAAAAAGAAAGAATCCAGCTTTAAAAAATAAAAGAGAAGATTAGAGATAAAAACTAAAAGAAACCCAGATGTCCAGAACTTAATCACCAAAAAAGGAAAAACATTTCAAGAATTTTTTAACAAATTTTAGATGCATTCAAACCTACTAACGGATTGAAAAACGGGAGAAATAAATGCAAATTATTGTAAGGAAAAAAAAAACAAAGGACTTGTCAATTTAAAAAACAAGTTTACAATTTAAAAAACAAGTTTACAATTTAAAATAAAATTTAAAAATAGAACTTGAAAGCAGAAAACAACAAGATCCACAAGCACCAATATATAACCATGTAGCACTAACAACAAATCATACACAATGAAGATGCGAATGCAGTTATTCTCAAGAAAAAAAGAAACCAGCCTTAAAAAAAAAAAGAGTAGAGATAAAAAGGAAAATACTTACATAGAATTTTGCACGATCAGAATGTTCACGATACCCTTCCTCCTGAAAGTTGTACTTATTGGGATCCTTGATAAATTTGATGGTATTACTTTCATACCATGGGAGATAATCATCATCGGTTGAGGATTGAGCACTCGGAGACCCAGCCACAATGGAGTCTGCCCTGTTGTTCCATTTTTCGATGTATTCACGATGATGTAACTCCCAATTGTTTCCACCTCTTCCAGTCCTACCATACTTGTGCAACTTTTCCCATTCTTGGAAACCAACAATCATTGGTTGTGGTGGGATGAATTGTTTGAAGCCAAATTGTCGCATCACACGGTCAACTTGATGCGGTTCAATGACATCCCAAAGAAATTAGCCAAGTGTTGGATTGCCAATGATCTCGACCCCGTGTACATCTTTCAGGTATCTCCACTCCTTCATAAGGTTGCCAAATAAACTGAAAAAAAAACAAAACATACAATCAAGGCTGTCAGAATAGAATACAAAAGGAATGTAGACATTTTGCCAAAAGAATTTAAATACAATAGAAAATGCTTTTTTTTCTTTTTCTATTTTTCTTTTTTCTTTCTATTTTTAAGATTACATAAAGAATGGAACAAAAGGAAGCAATGTCCTAATTAATTGTAAGAGGCAGCTTACAAAAAGAAAAAGGAAGGTATGGCCTATTTTTGCTTTATTATAACAGATTGTTAAAAAAAAAAAAGAGCAATGCTTTCTTTGTACATTGTAAAGTAGCATATTAACTAAATCACATTTCTACAAAAATAGTGCAAAAGCCATTTATTCATTAAGTTCAAATTCATTCAAAAAGAATTTAATTAAATATAAAATTAGAAACCCTTACATCTTCAACCTTCCTAAGGCTCGCGAGTTGATCTCGTTGTGCTGGGAGACAGTGAGAGGCCACCTGCGAAAAATCCAATGAACACCTCCATCTTGAACCCAAGGCCAAGGTGTGATTGTCATCTTCCGGATTTTTTCTGATGGGGCGAATTCTTGGGATTCGTTCATAAGCCCAAATCTGTAAATGAACACATGTTAGGTTAAAATAAAAAAATTGTTATACATAAAAGGAAAAATAAAGTAAATCAAATTCTACCTGCAAAAGAATCAAGCATCCACCTATATCCCATTTTGTCCTTTTTGATGCTTTACAAAGATTATTATACAACACCGCAAGACATGCACTCCCCAACTTAGTTTTCTACAAGTCTTAAAATCCTTGATGAAGGGCAAATAAAGCAAAGGCACAGTATTTCCGGTTGTGTCGGAAATAGTGAACCTCCAATTGCCCACAAAACAAAAACCCGAGCCCTTTTCCGCAAGCATCATCGGAGGCATTTGCTGGAAGTTTTCGCTTACACTCATCCGCAAATAAGTGATTATAAGTTGGTTGGACCCTTTTCTCAATTTGGGCGTGAATCCCAAAAGCTCCTGGCACATTGGAACCCAACTAGCTGGTGGCGAATCTTGGCCAGTTACAGGGTTTCCATCAATTCTCAGTCCCAAAAGAACTTCGACATCTTGGAGTGTAATTGTTGCTTCCCCATTGGGAAGTGAAATGTATGTGTTTCAGCCGCCATCTTTCAACCAATGTCTGTCACCAGGAGTTGTCTAATCGAATGAGACCCGTCTCAAGGAAGTATCCAAAACCCATGTTAGCCACGTAAGCTTTAACACAGTCATTGGACATTGCGTATAGCTCCCAAAGTAGATTATCAAATCGTCGACACTTATGGTGTTCATAAATGAATTTTGGCTCACTATTCCAAACGGCATCAGATCGATGATCGCCCTGAAGATAAAGAAGTGTAGAGTCGATCGGACCCTTATTTGTGAATTTTGGGGCTTGCGAAGAAGAAGAACTAGCCATATTACTGAAAAAACCAAAAAAAGCTATTAGAAAGGTCCACTGAGAAACTAAACAAACCAGGTTATCAAACCAGAAAATTTCAAACCAGGTTTTCTAACAGAAACTAAAATAGAAAAGCAGGTTTTCTACACTGCTTCACCAATGATCATGTCAAGTTCATATAAAAAAACCAAAAGCAGCAGCAAACATATATAAATTCTGTACTGTCTTGGATAGTAGGCAAACCAGGAAATTTCAATTGTATTGTGTAACGAAACTAAAAGAAAAACCAAAACGAAATGCAGCGAAAGATCAAACATAACCAAATGTCAAGAGGTTTAACAAAAACCATGTTACTTCTTCACCAAAAGCAGCAGCAAACATATATAAACAAAGTCCCGTCTTGGATAGTAGGCAAACCAGGAAATTGATAATCCAATTGCGTAACAGAAACTAAAAGAAAAAACCAAAACGAAATGCAGCAGAAAGATCAAACATAACCAAATGTCAAGTTCATAAACAAAAACCATGTTACTGCTTCACCAAAAGCAGCAGCAAACATATATAAACATCCTCCCGTCTTGGATAGTAGGCAAACCAGGAAATTGATAATCCAATTGTGTAACAGAAACTAAAATAAAAAACCCAAACGAAATGCAGCAGCAGCAGCAAACATATGATCATGTCATGTTCATAAACAAAAACCATGTTACTGCTTCACCAAAAGCAGCTTCACCAAAAGCAACTAAAATAAAAAACTAAAACCAAAAGCAGCAACAGCAGCAAACATAACCAAATTGTACTTACTGCAATTTGGTGGGGGCAATGCAGAGAGTTCTTGAGAAAGAGACACAGCTTCACTTGGCTCTCAAAGAATTGGAAGATTGCAAGGAACGACTCAAGAATACCGAAGCTACAAAAGCTCAAGCTCGTCGGGAACTCGACAAGGCCAATCGAACCCTCCAGAGCTCACCAACAAGACAAACTTCCATCAATTTGGACGGAATCATTGAGTTCCATTGCTCCAAATCACATAAAAACCCGGACGGAATCATTGAGTTCCCGGACGGAAGACGGGAAGACGGGAACGATTCCGAATTGGGACTTGGGGAAAATTAGGGCAAAATTAGGGAAAATTCTGACTTGGGAAAATTAGGGCAAAATCGGTGCCTTCGCGAAACGTGGAGGAACATTAGGGAAAATGAGAGAATCTGTGGAATTAGGGAAAATTAGGGCAAAAATATGGTTACACCGGAGATGAGATGGTGGCGGCCGGTGAAGAAACGGGAGGAAGAAGCAAGAAAAAATGAGGAAAAGATGCGCTTTGTCTAAATTTGCGTTTTCATAAAACGGATTACCAATATCCGTTTTAATAAATTTACAACAAACGGATAACCTAAATCCGTTTTAATTATAGACCGGATTTAAATAATCCGTTTTATGCGACGATGACCTGGAATCCTGTAAACGGATTTCAATAATCCGTTTTAAATAAACCAGGACAAATAAAAAAATTACATTTTATTATAAATTCTTACAAATCAGAAATTCAAACAATTAAACGGATTTTTCAATTCCGTTTTTTATGTTTGCCTTAAAACGGATGTTCAAATTCCGTTTTTAATACTGTACATGTTATTCTAAACGAAACACATATTACAAACATCCAACTAAGATAAAAATATGCTTCTTCAAAATAAAAAACCAAATTGATAATTCAAATGAGTCTTTTACACAAACAGAATCAAATATCTACTACACAAACACAAACAGAACGGAGGGATTCAGTCCTCTTCAACATTTTCAAAACCATTTGCGTCCCAGTTGACTTCCAATCTAGTCCGATCAGCTAAGCGGTGCGAACGATGACAATGCCTTGTTAAATGATCTCGACTACCGCATCTCCTACATCTTCTACGTGCACCCCTGCCCGTATAATCCATGGACATCAAGAATCGCCGCTATTGTTGACGCCCTACGGCATTATACAGAACTAAATTGACATAATCAGGAACAAGGTTCCACCCTGGAGACACCCACTCTTCTCTTCTTGGGACGGGAACAAACCTAGAATGACGAAACTGCTCACGCCATGTGCTCGTCTTATAATATTCATGTATTATGTTTTCTGGGTGATCACCAATCCACCGACATACAGCCAATGCGTGCGAACAAGGAAGCCTGTAAGTCTGCCACTTCTTGCATGAATAACGCCAATCTCTGTATTCTACTTTGTGTTCATTACCACCTTTCCCTATACGACGCCAACCTGTAATGACCCCATACACTTGTTGCTGGAAATCATACAGCTCCACTTTGTGAGTTGCTGCTGTATTCTCATACTTACAGAATTTCTTCCAATATTTATCTCCGATAGGAGTATTGCACTTCAAGGCATCTGCATACTGATCACGGAAGAACTTAATTGTCTTCGCCAAAGTCGATTCCACCACAGCTCTAATTGGTAAAAATCGAACACCCTTCAGAACATTGTTGTAACTCTCAGATATATTTGTTGTCAACATGCCCCAACGTGCATAATCTTGATCGTAGGCAAGACTCCACCTCCCCCTCGGTATAGCCATTATATAAGCAAGACCTGCTTCATTGCACTCTCTCAGTTGTTGCTGAAATTTTAGAAACTTGTGATTTTGCCTCTTCTTGCCCATTTTCCAGCACACCAGATTTGTTCGAGCTATTTGTTTTTTGTGTTTCGCCACCATGTTACTCCGAACATGTCGAAGACAATACCTGTGGTATCCAAAATATGGTTCAAGCCACAAATCGGCATTATTCTTCAGTGCACTGATTATCCCCTTATGCCGATCTGATATAAGACACGTGATTCGGTCGTGTACAACATGAAGCCTCAAATTACAGAGAAAAAATGACCAGCTTTCCTCGCTCTCCTCATCTACAATTGCAAAAGCAATGGGCAGGATATGGTTGTTAGCGCTTTTACCATTGCTACAAGAAGCTTACCCTTGTATCGACCGCGAAGGTGTGTGCCATCAATACTCACAACAGGTTGACACATATGAAAGGTCGCAATAGAAGGACCAAATGCCCAGAAAACATATTTGAAGACCCTATATTCATCATTTTCAGTCCCGAGCTGCCATTTCCACTCAACAACTGTGTTGGGATTAGATTTCTGTAGTGCAGCCATATACCTATCATAAATACAATAGAGTCTAATAAACAGTCCAATAATCCAAGAATTAAAACAGTGTGCATTTGAAAAACCATGGCAATTCGGAATCTAATAAGTTTTAAATTTTTACCATGGCAATTCCGTGAAATTGTCGATCCAGCTACCATAACACGCTTCGATAGCTTTTCTTCTTGCATGCCATGCCTTCTTGTACTTCACATCCACCTTATAAGCTTCCTTCACAGCATCCCTGATTGATTTCACCTTAAAACCAGGATCATTTTCAACACTACGCCTGATAAGTCTGGCTATTAACTTCGACCTCAAATTGCGATGGTCATTTTGTCTGGTTATTCCAACGCAATTGTGACGATCAACCCAGGACACAATTTGCCACAGACCATTCTTCTTCAAAGATGCACGCATCCTCCACGCACAAGTAGATTGCCCAATTGGAGTTTGCATTCTTCTTGTCGCGCACTCTGCAGACCATGACTTACGTCCAGAAGAAAGAACATAAAATTGCCTGTTGTGATATATGTTCCAGTCTTCGATAGCTGCCTCAACTTCATCCCTGTTGTTGAAACATGTATTCAAATCAAGGTTTTCTCTATCACCTTTCCACATCTTAACTTCAAATTCATCTCGATCCAGTATGCTATTTTTATAATCACCAATGTCTGAATAAACATGCTGACCAAAACCAGACGTAACTAAGTTCTGCACTGCTTCTGCTCCTGCGTCTGCTTCTTGTTCTTCATCTTCTAAGTCGGTTTCGTCAGACACATCAGTTTGGTAGTCAACTTCTTCTTCGCTTTCTACATAAGTCCCGTCTGATGCATCATCCTCATCTGATGAATCAAAGTCATCATTTTGACCCCCACCATGTCCCTCTGCAACGTATCCATCACCGCTGCTCCTGCTAGGCCCTGCTTCTGCATGTTGAGAATTATTCATCCAATATTGCTGGTCCTGTTGCGACACAAATGTAACATCCTGTTTTTGTCCTGACAGATCTAACAAATTTTGGGCCTGCACTGTGTCTTCATTTTCAACATATAGCTCCAAATATGATGAACCTGAAAAATAATAAATAATTTCCACTGACGAGTCGTCCATAATTGTTGCGCTTCGTCTTACACCGTTGTTTTCAAACAACAAGTTAATTCTTAGATTTACATAATTTCTATCCCAACCCGCTTTATCACAAATTCTGCCCAAAAACTCAGAATACGACAGCTTCCGCTCAATAACTAATGTCGCATCTGCCCTGTTATCAAATGTTCTGATCGTGCCATCTTCCACAACATATTTATTTCTCCAGTACACATTAATAAAATATGGACCATTCCATGCCATTTTTCTGTCAAAAATAAAATATTTATTAAAAAAGCAGTCTCTATATTTCCATAAACAGTACAATCATTTTCAAATAATAGCGTATAAATTTCCATAAATCGTCCAACATTTAAAAAACAGTACAATTTTTTCCAAATAAAACAGTCCGTACTTGGATAAACAGTCCAGCATTGTTTCATAAACAACCCAGCATTTAAAAAAAACCCAATTTCCACAAGCAGTCCATCATTTAAACAAACAATCCAATATTTTCCTAGTTTAAATTTCCATAAACAATCCAATGTTTCAAAAAACAGTCTAAATTTCCAAATATAACTGTCCATATCGAATTTCCTAATAAATTCAATATTTTCATACTAAACATTCTAATTCGAATTTAATAAGACCAATAATTAATTAATTTAATACAATACGATTAAAGGAAATAAATAACATCAACGCTATACTAACCTGAAAGATAACAATTTTCAGCCGCAAAAAACAGATTCAAACTGCAGACGTCTTCATATTTTTTTCTTCCCTTTCAAAACTTTCCAGATCTGGTAACAGTGTCAATTTTTCTTCATATATAAACCAAAAAACGGATTTTAGAATTCCGTTTTATGATTAAAGCCTGTAGCTCTGATTCTTACAGATTATCAGTGTCAGATTACCAGTGTCAGACCAATAATGGAGCTGACAACCTGATAATAGAAAAACGGAATCCCGTTTTCCGTTTTTTAAGACACGAAAAACGGAATTGCATCTTTCGTTTTTTTATTGATAAGAAAACGGAATTCGAATTTCCGTTTAAAATTTCCCCTAATATTTCCTATCTTTTTTTCCGAGCGAAATTGGGTTTTTCAATTTTAATTATTTTAAAATTCAAAATAAGGAAACGGAAATTGAAAGTCCGTTTTTTAAACTATAGTTAGAAAAACGGAAAATTGGTTTCCGGCAAATGTTTTCGTGACCACAAAAAAAAAATTAAAATATAAATTTCTACCCTTTTTTTTTTGGGTCTATTTAGGTAAATGGGCCTTGGAGGCAAATTAGAGCTCAGATTGTTGGAAGCTAGATTAAGATGTCTCAGGGACGTAATCTTTCCTATGCAGGATGGAACAACACCTGAAATTTGATTTCCTCCCAAACCCAAAGCTCCAAGGTTTGACAAACTGCAGATATCACCAGGTATAGATCCTCTAATCTTGTTGTTGTCCAAATACAACTCTTGAAGCCTTTGTAAACCTGAAACTGTTCTTGGAATGAATCCACTCAAATCATTGTCAGACAGGTCTAACAAAGCAACTGTACTCAACTTATCAATGTCATTTGGTATAGTTCCCATGATTTTACAATTTGATGCAACAAATTTCCGTAGAGTTGTAGAAAAGTTGCCTACTGAGGACGGAAACTTACCATTAAAAGGGTTCCCAAGTATGACGATCTCACTTAGATTCCTGCATTTTGTTAAAGAAGTCAGGAACTCCAGCTCTGATGATGATGATTCTACCTTCAAATTGTTCTCCCCAAGATAGACAAGTTCAAGGGATTCCAAATTTCCAATTGATTTGGGTATAGAACCAGTGAACCTATTAGATTCAAAATCCAAAATTCTAAGTCCTGTAGCATTTGAGATCGAATCCGGGATAATCCCGCTAAGGTTATTATCTCCAAGGTAGATTTCTCCAAGATGTTGCATCCCTTGGCCCATATTAAAAGGAAGATGACCTGATAAATTATTTCCCCAGCATGTAAAAGTCTGCAGGCTTGAAATATTGAAGATTGTTTCAGGAATGGAGCCACTCAAATAGCGATTCCCGTTCACTCCAAGAACTTCTAGACTTTGAAGATTACCAATCTCAGATGGTATTGAATCTGCCAAATGTTATCAGTGCGTGAATGAAGCAATTAGTTACTATGACAGTGTTTTGTGTTGGTAATGTAAAAATGTTGAAGAAATGCAAATTAATGGTGTATTGAGAAATGTGCCATACCTTCTAAATAGTTGCCACCAAGGAATAGAACTGTTAGAAGAGTTAGGTTGCCAATTTCTCTTGGTATGCTTCCAATGAAGTTATTACCCGACAGCGATAGAACTTGAAGCTGTAAACATTTCCCCATACCTGGAGGAATTCGGCCTTCTAGCTCATTGCTGGAAAGGTAAAGCCCTTCAAGTTTCGGAAGATTATCGCAGATATCAGGAGGAAGAGTGCCAGAAAGGTTATTCCCAGAGAAACCCAAGCTTTGCAGCATTGAGAGATTGAAGATGCTTGGTGGAATGGGACCACTAAGCTTATTTCCTTCCAAATTTAGAGAAGTCAAGAAATGAAGGTTACCAATTTCCTCTGGAATACTTCCTTCCAGGAAGTTCCGGCTCAAAGATAGCTCCTCCAATTTCGACAGATTGGCAATCGAGGGTGGTATGATCCCCGAAAATGCATTACGAGAACAATACAAGTATTGAAGATTTCGAAGTGAATCGAAGAATGATGGTATCGGCCCGCTGAAATTGTTGCGACCCATATCTAGCATCTTCAACCTGTGAAGTTGAGCCAACTCATCAGGCAAATTGCCATGAAAACTGTTGTTGCTGATATCAAGAGAAGAGAGAAATGACAGGTTTCCCAATTCTGGAGGGATGGTTCCATTTAGGCCTAAGTTAGAGATATCCAAAGCAATGACTCTGTTATGGCGCAAACTGCAAATTACTCCCATCCAGCTGCAAACTGAAGAAGATTCAGCAGACCAGTTTTTATCCAAGAAAACATTGTTGGAGCTGAAAGAAATCTGGGATTTCAGCGCGAGGAGCGCCGATTGATCAGATTTGTTGCTAGCAATTGCAGCAGATGAAACATAATGTAAGAACAAAATAACTGCAGAAAAAATCATGCTAGTTAAGCTAGCCATTGAATTATTTCAATGAAAGTGGGTGCATATGTATACTTCAACTAGAAGTTCTTATATATATAATATATATACAAAGTAATATAATACTGTCAAAATTGTAAAGCCGTATTTGTTAAACTAAAACGATACAATAATCTGGATGATCATTTATTCTCACTAGACATTACACTTTGACCCAGGTAATATTGCAAATAGTACCACAATTACATCTTGTTTTATCCTGCATGGAGCTAAGAAAGTTCGATTCAATAATTACACAGTACATTTGTTACACTTGGAAATATTTTTCACATGTTTTATGTGCTGTTCAAATAGGAATTTTGGTCTTATTTCAGCCATTGATCTCAAAGGGCACGAAAGGAACAACTTGAATAGTAGTAGTAGAGAGGATTGGCGTGTGAGTCTCAAATACTAAGGTCAAGAAAGCTGGCCATTTATTTGGTCACCAAGACTGAAAATAAAGAAAAACTAATAAATTTCCATCGTCGAGTGATAAGGAATTTGTCCTCCTTCTCCGATATTAGTTTCGAGTTCAGCATGAGTCTAATAATTGTCTAGTTTGGTATGTAACAGTATAATAAAGTGATAAAACACCTCATAATTCCCGTAGAGCAAAAAAAAAAAAAAAAAAAAAAGAAAAGAGTTAGAAAAGAAAAAAAAAATCAATGACCTCGGATCACGACACTCCAGGAAAAAGAGTGTCTATGTTGATCCTATGAATGTAGTAGTATTTGTTCTTATTTGCAAGTTGGCCAATTGCGTGTCTCAATCAGGGGTCTACAAATATATTGGTTGGGATTGCCTACTTACTAGATTATCATGATTAATATGCATTATTTGAGGGAATTATCATTTGGTTTGACTTCTGTTTAAATAGGTAATTAATGGCCAGAGGTGATTTATTGGGAGGCAAAATCATCTCTTGTTGAAATTATGCAATTTCTAAATAGAAAGAACATGTTTTGATTTCATTCCTTTTTAGGAAATTGTTGGCTAAATAAGCCAGAAGGAGCAAAACTGTTGCTTTCAAACTTCAATGGCAGCTTTTAGCTATTGGTTGTTTTTCTTGGTTATTTGTAGAGGATTATAATCGCGAAGTCGGGTTCAAATCTCAACGTAACAAATATAAAAAACGGAAAAAAAAAGTAGAAAACGAGTATTTAGTATTGATGCCATACTGAAAGAACCTAGCCAGGTTGATTTACTTGTAAACAAGATGTTGAACAAATCAGTAACAATTCATTCCCAATCTCATCACACCATTGTCCACTGTCCACTTTTCCTTTGACTATAATCTCCATTTTTCGTCCCGTGCATTACGAATTTACATAGCAAAAGAGGTACAATTTTGTTTGAAGCCGTTCATCTACTTACTTTCCCTTCATTGGCTTCTTCCACAACTGCTTAGAAACTCAGCTCTCAGTTTCTTGAGTGATGAAAGAACATCTCGCATTTCATTTCTTGCATCAGAAGATTCAACAGTGCATCCCAATGCCAGCCCCATGATTGATGCAACACAATTAAGCTTAGCGCGGAAATTTTCATCGTCAGGGCTTAACAAATTTGAGTCTGTTACTTGCATGATTCTACTTGGAAATGAATCCAGTACCCACTGCCTCAAGGTTCGCTCTCCGGCAAACTTGTCATCGCCAGGGCTGGTCCTGGTGAATGTTTCCATCAACATGATGCCGTAACTGTAGACATCACACTTTGTCGAAACTATCCCATCCAATCCATATTCTGCATTAAAAGTTTCAGTGGTCATTCTTCTTACTTTGTATGATAATGGTGAATGGACAAATTGAATTTGGATAAAGAAAGAAAATCTGTTACCTGGTGCTATGTATCCAATTGTGGCAATGGTTTTGGTTTGTACGGTTCCATTTTCGTCTGCCAACAGTTTTGAGATGCCAAAATCACAAACACGTCCTACCATGTCATGGTCAAGTAAGACATTGCGAGGCTTCACATCACAGTGCACCACTGGCGTCACAAAACCACTGTGGAGATAGTCCAAAGCGGAAGCAACATCTATCATTATATCGAGCCTTTGGAAGATGTCTAGGAAATAATTGTGAGAATATAACCATTTCTCAAGGCTTCCATTTGGCATGTACTCCAGCACTAAAGCTTTAAAGTCCATGTGCAGGTTGGAGCAACTAGTGATGACTTTGGTTAGATTTCGGTGCCTAATGCTGCGCATGACTTCGCATTCTGTGTTGAAGCTCTTCTCTGCTCCTGATAGTTTCAAGTTAAACACTTTTACCGCAACAGGAGTTCCATCAGTGAGCATGCCTTTGTAGACTGAGCTATAACTCCCTGTACCAATCAGGTTGCTTGCATCAAATCCATTAGTTGCCTTTTCGAGTTCATGATAGGAAATCCTTTCATGTGGCAGTTCAGCAAATTCCAGAGCTTCGAGCGTATCATTCTTTTTCTTCCGTCTCCTCATCAGTAAAAAGAAGACAGCTGATGCAAGAGCAAGTGATGAAATTCCCAGAAGAATGTAAACAACTAGATGTTTATGTTTACTTCTTCTCTTGCGAGAAACAACGGGGCAAGGCTTCACTTGAAATCGCGGCGCACCACAGAGTGCACCATTTGATTCAAAGGATTCACCTGTGAAGTTCTGAAAAGAACCATTGCTAGGAATCTGTCCACTTAGCTGGTTGAAGGAGACATTGAACTCCTTGAGATACACAAGATTCTCCAATGACTTGGGAATCTCTCCAGTTAACTTGTTCTGAGATAAGTCCAATATCTCCAAGCCTACCAGTTTACCAAATGAGTCTGGAATAGGTCCATCCAAGTCATTGTGGGATAAAGAGAGGTTGATCAAATTTTGCAGATCGCCTATCGTACTGGGAAGTTTTCCAGAGAGGAAGTTACCGGACAAGTCGATCACTGTTATGGCCTTCACATTTCCAATTTCTGGAGGTAGATGGCCACTAAGTGAATTTGAGGACGTGTTTAACAGAAGAAGATTTTCTAGCATCCACAAGCTTGGAGGTAAGCTAGAGGTCAAATTGTTGGATGCTAGATGAAGAACACTTAAAGAAGTCATGTTTCCAATGCAGGATGGAACAACACCTGAAATTTGGTTCCTCCCATGCCTATAGCTCCAAGGTTTGGTAAATTGCAGATTTCTCTGGGAATGGATCCACTTAGGTTGTTTCCGTCCAAATAGAGCTCTTGAAGATTTTGTAAACCTCCAAATGTCCTAGGAATGAATCCGCTCAAGTTGTTGTCCGATAGGTCTAAAAAAGAAAGTTCACTTAGCTTACCAATCTCATCTGGAATACTTCCAAAGATACCACAACCTGATGCAAGAAATCTCTGCAGAGAGGCAGAGAAATTGCTAATTGAGGTTGGAAGTTTGCCAGTTAAAGGATTGTGCGCGATCGTGAGTTCGCTCAGATTCCTGCACTTTGTTAAAGAAGTCAGGAACTCCAGATCTGATGGTGCAGTCAGATTGTTCCATCCGAGCGAGAGAAGCTCAAGGGATTTCAATTCTCCAAGTGAATTGGGTATAGAACCAGTGAGAGTGTTAGAACCAAACTCCAAGTGTATAAGGTTTGAAGCATTTGAGATGGACTCAGGGATGGTTCCGCTAATACTATTCAATCCAAGATAAATTCCTCGAAGATTTTGCATCCTTTGACCCAGATTTGAAGGAAGAGAACCTGATAAATTATTCTCTACACACGAAAACATTCGCAGACTTGAAATGTTAAATATTGTTTCAGGAATGGGACCATTCAAATTGGCATTTGAGTTTAGTCCAAACTGTTGTAGATTCTGAAGGTTACCAACCTCAAAAGGTATTGAGCCTACCAAAAAAATTATAAATGCACAAAAGAGTAATTAGCTTAGATCTTAATCAAAACTTCTTGGAACGACGATCTCATATATTTTTGGCCTCTAGCCAAAAGCCACAGCATAATGAAATACACTGTACCACAAGAATTCAGGCATCGGATTGTGATTTGGCAGGTACGCAAAGAAACAAAAGCTTATCAAAATACGCGATAGCGGTTAAAAGTTGAAATAGTTGAAAAGTAAAGAAGGAAGGTACCTTCTAAATAGTTGAAGTCAAGAAGTAAGACAGCTAGGAAAGTCAAGTTCCCAATTTCCCTTGGTATGCTACCGCGGAAGTTATTATTCGATAGCGATAGAAGTTGGAGTTGTGAACATTTGCCCAAATTAGGAGGCATTCGGCCTTCTAGCTCATTGTCTAAAAGATATAGACTTTGTAGGTTTGGAAGATTATCACAGATATCAGGCGGAAGAGTGCCAGAAAGATTATTCCCGGAGAAAGCAATAACTTGCACCGTTGTGAGATTGAAGATGCTTGGAGGGATTGGACCACTGAGTTTATTAGCTTCCAGGTTCAGAAAACTCAAGAAATGAAGGTCACCAATTTCCGCTGGAATACTTCCTTCCAGGAAATTCCTGTTCAAAGTTAGCTCCTCCAATTTAGACAGATTGGCAATTGAGGGTGGTATGATCCCTGAAAATGCATTACGAGAACAATACAAGTATCGAAGATTTCGAAGTGAATCGAAGAATGATGGTATCGGCCCGCTGAAATTGTTGCGACCTATATTTAGCATCTTCAACCTGTGAAGTTGAGCCAGCTCTTCAGGGAAATTGCCATGGAAGCTGTTGTTGCTGATATCAAGAGAAGAGAGAAAGGAAAGATTTCCCAACTCTGGAGGGATGGTTCCAATTAGGCCTAAATCAGAGATATCCAAAGCAATGAGTCTGTTATGGCGCAAACTGCAACTTACTCCCATCCAGCTGCATACTGAAGAAGACGACTCAGCAGACCAGTTTTTCTCCATGAATAAATTGTTAGAGCTGAAAGAAATCCGGGATTTTAACGCGAGGAGCGCAGATTGATCGGAGGAGATGTTGGTTAATTTAGCAGATGAAACATACTGAAATAACAAAATTGCTGCTGAAAAGATCATGAAACTAGTTAAGCTAGCCATTGTGAGTTATTTCAGTCGGAATGAAGTTCATGCAGTCTTCCTTATAAACAGGACCTTGTGCGTGTGTGAATGACGCATAGCTAGCTACCCCTTAGTACTGAAAGAACAAAATTGATGATACTAGTTAAGCTAGCCATTGTCAATTGTATTTCAGTGGGAATGAAGAAGTTTCATGCGGCCAACTAGGAGGAGAGGGAGTCCTTATAATAAAACAGGACAGTGTGCGGAATGGCGCATTAGCTAGAACCTTTGACCCCAAGTGTTCACATTTTCATATAATTGGTACCAATCATGAGAATTTTTGACCCCCTTCAAGTTCATATCATCACTTTGACTAGAGAGACGTTGCACTTCTTTACAATACGATCACAAAAATATTGAGAATGTTAATTAAGTATCAATATACCCCTTGTTTTTATTTTTAGAATAACTTGACACATATAGAATTAAATCTCTTATTGATCAAATAAATGGTCGAAAAATGCTGAATTTTTCCCCTTTTTAATTGACCGCGCTAAAAATACTACTAATAAGGGCATGCATACTCGCCAACTCGCTGAAAGTTATTCTCCCGCATAGTGAAATTTATCTCTACACGGTGGTGTGAAAGAACTAAAGAAGTAATATATCTACTGACTTCTTTTTGCTCTTTCATTTTCTTTCCTTTTTTTTTCCCTTACAAAAATAAGGAGCATTTTCTTTTTTGACTTTTCAGTTTTCAACATCCTCCACTGATGTTATGAGAGACAAACGGAAACGACTTAAAAAAATTGGAGAGTCAATCTTAATATTCGAAAGGGGAATTTTTTATATTGAAAAGTAGGCATCGGCGTGTGCGTTTCGAGACAGGACAAAAGAATTATGGTTAGGAAAAAAGAAGTATGTTTAGGAAAGTTTGCTGGCTCGCTCTTAATTACGTTTCGGTAATTTTTTTCTTTCAAACTGATCCGTAAATAAGGACAAAAAACTTCTCTAATTATGTCCTACAGACTATTTTCTATTTTATCTTGACTTTTAATTGGGTACAGTACTACTAGTTGTATTATTTTGCATTCAAGTTGGCCGATTTGCCTGCCCAGCTCAGTCGCTCATGTCTACAAACAAATAAAATAAAATAAAAAACCAAATCTCACAACCATCTTAGTTATACTATTTCTCAACGAACTTCCCGTTTATTCATTTAAAGGTAGAAGGAAACTTTGTTCAGGAACTCTTAAGCACATCTCTAAGAGGGAATGAAGGTTGCTTGAAGAAGACAAAACGTTATAGTGGTCATAACTCATAAGCATTGGTTACGTCTCTTTCCTTTTTTTTTTTTTTTGTTTGTTACCCTTTCGCTAAGGGAATTAATAAATTGAGAGTAAATTTGTTAAATTGAGAGCAAAATTTTGTCAAGTATTTATTATGCCTTCACTTATGATTTATAGAGATAATAACTAACTTTATTTCCCTTTAATTTCTTCCTTCTGTTTTGGCCATCCAGCCGCTGTTTTCCCTTTTACTATAGCATAATCATTATTCATTACTTGATGTCGCCTTTATTTTACTTTTTGGTCTTAAACAAAAGAGATTTTAACTTCTTTAGAACTCTATCTTTCACAGGTTCAATTTACATCTATTGATTCAGGGGTCGACATTGGTTTTTATGGTCATCATCGATTGATTTAGTGGTGGCAGACATCGGTTCATATACTCATCATCCTTTCTATTGACTATACCGGGAATTGTATCTCCGGTCTAGGGGTGGAACTCCGTTAGGGTTTCGGTGATCTGTAAAAGAGAGCCTCAAGAGTCTCATGAGAGTACACACTCCGATGCTCAAGTCAGTAAAAAAGGTTACAAAAGAGTGTGTATTACTAATTGGTGCTAGAGATAGCATACCTCAATTATGGTGTGATTCATCCTATTTATCGATATGGAATTACCCCGTGGATGTCCTAATCCTACTAGGTTTAATGTTGGTAAACCGCCTATGAAGTTGGTTGAACTGTAATCGGCGAATGTGCCGGGTCTGATATTCCATAATAAATATGGACTCGTCAGGTACCCTTGCTAAGTGTTAGTTATATGAAATAAACAAAACTTGACAATAAAATAAATGTTACCCGGACTCAGCCCAAGTTGAATAGACAAGTCTCGACTCAATTTGGCAGGACTAGGCCAAACATATCTATTCACGGGCCAGAATTACACCTGAAATGTCACGGCCCAATTACGATCGATCTGACCTGATGGAATTTGCTCGCGGGTTAGAGTCCGAACCGAGAAGGCGACCCGCTTCGAAATCCTGCTTAAAAATTGAAGCCGCACCTTATTATTGGGCACGTTCCCCAAATGGCGACACCTTCATCATTGCTGTCTCCTTGAAATTTGCCCAAACCATCAAATTGTGGATAGAAATGTTAGGTCATAAAGTGATCTCCAATCCATCCAATTCACATTTTATTTTGCAAAGAAAAATATCTCCTTTCGTTTTCAAAGAGCACATCTGAGAATTTAAAATATCAGAGCAGTTCCAGTGCTCTAGTCGCCGTCACCAGAAGCATCTACAGTCTAGGAGAACTGTGACTCTGGAAGGCTACAATTCGAAAGGTCAACCCTAGAAACTGATTGAAGTGAGTTCCTGGCACCCTTGCTATTAAATTTCTGCCTTCTCTGTATAAAATTATTGTTGTTGGTATATACATCGATTGATATGGTTAGGAACCCAGATCTAAAAACTGTGTCCGATTTTGTTTCTACCATAAACTCTGATAAAAAAGCCAAGGCTGTAGCTACCAAGTATGATATCCCCTTAGATCTACAACCTCAAGCCCCAATAGGTAATGAAAATGCTAACACTCCACCCGAGGAAAAAATCACTGTGTATGATCATTTCCTGTTTTTAGGGCTTAGATTCCTCCTTGTCCCTCTGTTTGGAGAGATTGTCCAACACTATAAAATACCACTTACTCGATTTACCCCAAAACCTTATATCCTGTGTCCTCAGATTTGCAAAACTGTGCGAACTTGTAAGCGTGAGACCTTGACTGCTTGTGTGGAGGTAGTTTTTCAAGGTCCATATTCCCTCAACAAAGTTCAAAGATTGGTATAACGTCAAGAAAAATCCAAAATTTGGTGTTGTAAAGACCGTAAATGTATTTGATGGTTCCCCGGTGTGGAAACCCGACTATTTGTATGTAAAAGCCCCAAAGGATTTCTGTCTTCCTTGGGATTATTGAGAAACAAATGGTCTTGACGTGATAGTGGACAATTGGAGCAAGGCTGATAAGAGCAGAATCGAGAAATACAGACCCGACATCGACGCCATGGAAAAATACTCCGAATTCATCCTTTGGACTGATGTTCAGTATTACATTCCCCCAATTCCTATTGAGGAGAAAGAAGGAACTGATCTCTCTTTTACTTTTTTTTTTTAGGTTATCTCGTCAAGCAAAACCGCTTATAGACTGTTTGGTGATGCCAAACCTTTTGATGTTATAAACTCAGATGATGAGGGATCATCCACTAAGGTTGTGGCGAAGAAGAAGAGAAAAGCCAAGAGATTGTTCAAGGCATCGGATGTAGTGGCCGAGAAAAAGAGCAAGCATGATCACCCTCTCGAGAAAAAAATCACTCTCGAGGCGATCCCACCTGTCGTCGAGACAGATAAAGAAATTCCGCCAAATCCTATTGAGGAGGCTCGTCCTGCTGAGGAGATGGATCTAGACCCCTTCACAGTACCACGTCCTCCCCTGGAGAAGCAGAAAGATGGTCTTGAGGACACCAGTGCCTCTCCTGGATCTTCTAACTTAACTGCTCCCGCCGCAATCTACCACTTTGGGGAGGCTACAATCGAGTGCCCCATTCTCGAGGAGAATGCCGCAGCCATGACAGAGGAGGATACCTTGAAACTGGTAAGTCCTTTCTTAGGATGACTTAGACAAGTCGGAGACCGCAAGGAAGGCAATCGAGCAGGAGAAGACCATCCAAAAAGATGCTTGGAAGAAGGAGCAGCTAGAATTTGCTGCTAAAGAGAAGGAACTGGCATCTCTACAGGCAAAGTATAATGAGGTGGAGACTAAGATGAGGGAATATGGTGATTCCCATATCTCAAAGACCGATCTCTATCATTGGCTCGTGGCCTTCTGGTCTAGGATGTTGCCGTCTGGCGGCATGACCAGTGTCATGCTAAAAATAAGTGATGCGCGAAGGATTTTGGTGGCCATGGTGTCGCAGTGGCTGCCCTCGAGAGGTTGGAAAGTGGCAGAGCTATCAATGCTGGCTGGTTGAAACAGTTCTTGAAACCTAATCCACGACGCACTTTGCATGAGGAGATGGTAAACAAACTTATGCACCTGAGTACAGACCAACTTCTTTTGTTCAACACCCTATGCAGTGCCATCTTCAAGATGGGTTCCCCAGCAGAAATAAACTCGTTCCTGGGTGATGTCTCGATACCACTTACAAGGAAGCCCGACGAGGAACTGCGAGTGCCGGAGCTACCTGATAAGTGCATTGGAATCGAGCTGGCCTTCGATGAAGAGTCCTAGGAATGCGGTAAAGGTAGATCCTAGGAATGCGGGAGCCAATGAGGAGGAAACTGAGGTAAAGGTAGATCCTAGGAATGCGGGAGCCAATGAGGAGGAAACTGAGGTTGAGAAGGAAGCTGAGCCAACACCAACGCCCATTGAGGAGACCAACGAGAGCCAACCAGACAAATCCCAAGATCAGCAGGGCGCTGTATGAACTTTTCTTTTGTAATAGAATTTCTCTTGACATTTTGGATTTTATTGTAACACTTCTCATGTGAGCTGTAGGGAAAAATTTCTGTGGGGAATTTGTATATGATTAACCTGTTTTTGGTATTCAATTTCTTGACCTGTTTTCATTGCATATGCTAGGAATCGTACTTCGTCCACCAAGTTTGTTTGATTATCCTGGATGAGAACCAAGCGAAGAAATTTTCCTTGTATGCCATGATCTCCACCCTCCTGAGAAAGAGGGAGATTGTTGACAACATAAGGGTGGTGAAGTATCTCGAGAAAGATAACCTGGACGCCATCCAAGCATACAATGTGCAGATTCACTCTCGACTAGTAAATAGTTTTAGAAAGAAGAAGGAAGAATTGCAACACCGTTTTCATCAATATGACCTGGATTATTAGGATTCCCTGATCCTGGAGGAGAACGTAAATGAGGAGATGGCTTAACCGAAGGAAGAAAACGCCAAGCTGAAAGCAGACA